CCCCCCTCCCCCTACACCCCTAAGGATCCCTATGATACTCAGCCCCTGAGCCCTTAATGGTAGACCCTGAACCAAACAAACCTTCAACCCTCAGCCCCAGGGCTTGGATACTCAGCTTCTAAGGGGTTTGGGATATGGGAGTTTTCCGAAAATTAGGACTATTTAGGGTTTTAGATTAGCATCCCCTATATCTTAAGAAGTGATGAAAGCACCAGGTGTGGCCGCTCCGGGCGGTGCTGCAACCGGAGACACTTCAGGCGGGATCCACATTTTCGGATTTTGTGATTTTTGGGTTTAGGGTTTAGGGCTTAACACCCTAAACCCTAAACCTGTTTTAGAGACACTTCAGGGGGGATCTAATGAGGACGCCTAGGGGTTGAGGACTGACTTATTTGTTGCTTCGGGCTTTCGCGTGAGTCCTGGGGGTCTAGGGCCCCGGGGACCTGAGATTTTGGGAAATGGAGTAGGAGGCTCTTTTTTTTGCATTCGGATATTTAGTGATGAGGCGCAAAGTGAGCTGTCGCATGAGGTTGCAAGTAGTAAACCCCTAGCTGGGGAACATATGGGAGTTTCCGAAAATAGGGGACCCTAATATATTTCCCTACATAGTAGGATCCTTGTTATAAGGACCCCAAAATAACAAGGTACCCCTAATTTTCGGAAACTCCCATATAACACCACAAACCCTAAACCCTAACCTCATCCTCACAACACCCCTTCGACTTATGACGCTTTCTTAGTCTGCTGACTTGATATAGGGGCCTGAATAAGTAGAATAGGGTTTGCGGGCCCACTATACTATCATCATAATCACAACCTCCCCCCAAAAAGATAGGATAGGAAATTATGAAGGCCCTGCGAGTACGGTTTTTTTGAGGCTCAAGCTCAGGGCAGGAAGTTGTGATCGGAGACCTGCCAGCTTTGTTGAAAACTGCGTTACTGGCAAGTCTGCTGTTCGTGACTGTCTCTTACATTCAGGGTTTAGGGTTTAGCTGTAGCCATGTCTGTGTACGTGCACTCTCATGTGCATCTAGGCGGAATAGTGGCACTTTGAAGTTTTCTTTTTTTGCGAAGACCAGAAACTGACCACCTGTTCAAGACTCCCATGTCCCTTCCACTCTGCAGGCACTTCCGCTGGCCATGCCGTTGATAGCTTTCGCGCTGCCTGCGTGCTATGTTCTCTCCGACATTCGCTTGCAAAATGTCGGGTTCACATAGCCTTACCGCATCCTTACGCAACCCTCAATGACATGAAGCAATGATTGTAAGGGTGGTCGCGCTTATCCCAGGCTTGATGGGGGTTTTAGGTTCGCGTGTTCGGAAGAGGAGCGAGTGCTTAGAGATTTTGAGTGCAAGCTTCAGCTTATTTACAGGATCAGGTCACAGTCTTTAGGTTCAGGCAAAACTGGGGAGGCTCCCTATAGGGGTACCTTCGTGAGGGGTCCTCCATTCAGGAGCCTGTACTAGACAGTCCGTATGAGGGTGACACTGCCTTTGAGGAACAAATGGGTGGTTGTCAAAATTGTGTCCCTTTTTTGGGTACCCTAAATATTAGGCACCGTACTATAATAAGGACCCAAAAAGGGACCATAACTTTGGCAACCACCCATATAGGCTTGCTTGAAGCATCTTCGGAGTCTTCATGAGCTTGTCGAACCCCACGGTTTAGGGTTTAGGGTCTCGCATGCTCCGACCGACTATTTGAATTTGCGAAAGGCAGGTCATGCAGACCCTAAAGGGTTAATGAGGCCCCATGGCCCGATCTTACGGTTTAGGGATGCGGTTTTCATCCAGGTCTTTTTTTCTTTAGAGCTATGCCCTCAGAACTGGGAAGCATGGTATATAAGTTATTGCTTTTCCCTGGAATGCGCAGGATTCAGAGGTTTCGGGTTTAGCGTCAAGGGATGTCGGGGTCCAGGGCTCCGGGGATGATGCTTCAGCGGTTTAGGGGTGGCTGTCAAAATTAGGGTCCCGTCTTGGGTCGCTTCTATAGCACGGCACCTATTATTTAGGGTGCCCAAAAAGGGACCATCATTTTGACAACCACCCCTAGGTCATCTCCCACAGAAGTACCCATGAACCCACCGACAACCTCATCATTCTGGAGGTTGTAAGCTCCCTGGACCAAGCAGTCAGGGAGCCAAGATTGAACATACAAGAGCATCAATGCTCGCACTTGTGTCGACATTGATCTACATGCATGTATGCATGCATGTAGGTATTTGGGTATGTATGTCTGTATGTATGTATGTATGTATGCATGTAATTATGCACTTATGCACTATGTATGCATGTACTCATGTACTCATGCATGCATGGGTGGGTGGGTGCATGGATGGGTGGGTGCATGATGCATGGATGGATGGATGGATGGATGGATGGATGGATGGATGGTTGAATGGATGGATGGATGGATGGACGGATGGACGGATGGACGGATGGACGGATGGACGGATGGACGGATGGATGGATGCATGTATGTTCGTGTATATGCATCTGTGTATGTATACATCAGCATATAGCCTTAAAGCATCAGGACAGAGCGGCGGCAACAGGCAACTCATAGAGACACAGGGATGGATGAATGGATGGATGGAGGGGGGAGGGAGGCGTGGAGGGATGGAGGGTTGTATGCGTGCATGGATACAAGAATGGAAGGCGAATGCGAAGCTGACGAACGTACCCGGACGGTTCGAAGACTCACTGCTCAAGTAGGCTGTGGCTGAGATCTGAGATTCCCCAACCGTGGTTTGCTTCGAGCCATGACTACCCACAGTTTTCATTCAGGACCTCAAAACAGATTCTGAGTAGTAGAGATTCGAGTTGCCCGCCTCGCCAGCAGAAAGCGAAGAGCAGTGGAGCCGAGGCGAGTAAAACGGCCCCTAGCCGAACCCTGAGCCTTTATCTCCTTTATGCCGCTTTTCCCCTCATTCAATACTGACCTTACTTAAACGTACAACACCCAGGTTGGTAAATGGGTGCAGCCCGTCATTGACGAGCCTTGGCGAACGAAGACTTGCATGTGGAGTAGGAAGCGCAGTGGCCTGAAGAATTTTTCAAGTACATTCCAATACTTTTCTTATCGTTCAGGCCCACACAGGGACGCGGATATCTCAAAGCATGGTTCTGTCACAGCCATTTCAGACCCTGTTAAATCGAAGAAACCTATGTCCCCAGTAGGTCAGGAGGACCCTTTGTATATGTTCGATGTAGGGGCTCCTGGAGAACATGGTTTAGGTCTGAGGGTTTGGGGCTTACGTCTGGTTGCCCTCGCTGACCATCAACAACCCCACAGACTCCGACGCCCCAGGACCCTCTTGACTTCAAAGTGTCGCCAGAACGCCGTCAACCCGCCCATCCCAAGCAAACAAGTAATAATGACCGGAAAAAGCGATATGCCACAACATACGTACACACACGCACTGAAACCCTAGCATCTCCAAACCCCTAAACCCCCTAAGCCCCGCAAACCCCTAAACCCCCCAAGCCCTAACCCCGCAGACGCACACAGGCTTGCCTTCAGCGGCCGCTTGTTGCCTTGGCCTTTCCGATTTGGCTCAGCTTCTCGGGCCGCGAAGGACCCTTCGGGTCCCCTTGAAGGGGCTCTTTTTTAGGACCCCCCCCCCCTTTATAAGGGCTCCTTTGGGGAATCCTTGAAGGGCTCCAAGAAGGGTTCAAGGGTTTAGGGTGTGTTGTTCTTGACCGAGGCCGACATGCAGCACCGATGCCCGATTGTGGGTCGTTGACTGGCTAGACTTGAGTCCAGTGGCAAAAAGGGTGTGTTGTTCGAGTTTTCGGTTCGGCGGATGGTTTTTTCGCAAGTTGGAACCCCTTGCAATCTGAAGCTCTCATGCAACTAAGTCATTGCGCAGTGAAAAACCGACTAATGGCATGTATGGTACCTTCAACCTCGTCGACGACGAGCCAAGGCTACGTCGCGCTTGAGACAGCGACGTCAAAATGAAGCCTTTGGCAAAGGCAGGCCCATGCACGACATGATTTAAACATACCCGAGCCGCGAAATCAGAAAATGCCTGTAGCAAGTCACTTGCACTCATTTCCTTTCAGCTGTCGGTTGTTGCTGCGACACGTTACAGTGCATGGGCGCCAGCAATTGTCCCTCCAACCTGCATGCTGACAGGCAGGATGCTGATTCCTTGGACCGGAGTGAAGAGCGCTTCCGTCTTTCACAATGGGTTGCAACAAAGTCCAACTCATGAATACCACCTTGCAAGCACGAGTCTACCACAACCCCTCAGACACGAAGCAGATTCAGCTAGCAGAGACAGCAGCTAAACTAAACTCAAAGTGCAGGCATTCAGCATTCTGTCGCCACATCCCGCGTGCGAGTCAAACAGCTGCTCACACTGAACGAGCGCATTCCTACAATAAAGGGAGAGGGTTTGGGATTGGGGTGCAAAGCCACGGGGCTGTTTCCTCCGTGAGAATTGGCCCTGGTCTTGATGAAAGGAGTGGCATGTTCTTGGAGCAGGTTACCCTAAACCCTAAACCCTAAACCCTAAACCGTGTGAACATGCCGGAACACCCGGAAATGCTGTGATGATTTTGCCGTTTGTCCTAGATTCTTGTAGTCATCCTGGTGCGGCGTCTGTTATTCATTCTTCATCCCTAAATCCTTATGAAACCCCAAACAATAAAACCCGAAACAAACTCAAAAGGCGAAACAAACAAGAAGCAACGAGCGCCGCAGTAGGGTGGAGGGTTTTCAGATGTTTGGTATTTCGGGTTTACTGTTTAAGGTTTTACCATGGGCTTGAACCGCTCATTGCTATTCCCTAACCTGCCCCATAACCCCCAAATCGAAAAAGCACAGACAGCTCTTATCAGCCCTTCAAACTACAAAGGGGTTTAACGGTTTAGGCTTTAGTTGGGTTTAGGAGGGAGAAACACAAATTCAGCCTTCTCAGCCCGGCAATCACTGGGAATCCCCAGCGCGTGGCTTAAGAGACTGAATCGCCCCTTTCTTTTGTTTCGAACCGATGGCTTTCCGAGCTTCTTGGCAGGCAGCAAGGGGCCTCGTAGGGTTCAGAGGTTCAGGTTTTTAGGGTTTAGGGTTTCTTGCGTAATTACCGATATCGTTACCTGGGTTCCCTTAATACGAATACGCGATAGTGTATTATGCAGTCAAATAGTCTTACTCGAATCAAAAGTATCGTTACTTTCGGTTCATGGTTGGGCTTCGAGTCTCGCAGTTTTACGGGTTTAGGATGTTGACGTGGTTAAGGTCTGGGTTTGGCTGTGGCCATGGCTCTTTGAAAGGTTGCCTTTTGGTAGGTTGCTCATTTCTGGTTTGGTGCGTGTGTGTGTGTGTGTGTGTGTGTGTGTGTGTGTGTGTGTGTGTGTGTGTGTGTGTGTGTGTGTGTGTGTGTGTGTGTGTGTGTGTGTGTGTGTGTCTGTGTGTGTGTGTGTCTTTGTGTGTGTGTGTGTCTCTGTGTGTGTGTGTGTGTGTTTGTGTCTGTGTCTGTGTGTGTGTGTGTGGGTCTGTGTGTGTGTGTCTCGGTGTGTGTGTGTGTGTGTGTCTGTGTGTGTGTGTGTGCGTCTGTGTTTTTGTCTGTGTGTGTGTGTCTGTGTGTGTGTGTGTGTGTGTCTGTGTGTGTGTGTGTGTGCGTGTGTCTGTGTGTGTGTGTCTGTGTGTGTGTGTCTGTGTGTGCGTCTGTGTGTGTTTCTGTGTGTGTGTGTGTGTGTGTCTGTGTCTGTCTCTGTCTGTCTGTGTCTGTCTGTGTCTGTCCGTGCCTGTCTGTGTCTGTCCGTGTCTGTCTGTGTCTGTCTGTGTCTGTCTGTGTCTGTCTGTGTCGGTGTCTGTCTGTGTCTGTCTGTGTCTGTCTGAGTGTGCCTGTGCCTCTGTGTGTGTGTGTGCTGGCGTGTTTCTGTTCGTGTGGCTTCTTTGGCGTTAGGGCTTCACGATCTAGTAGCTGGCGGGACCTTGGGTCTACCCTAAAGATCCTCGGAGATGCGGTTTCGGGTTTCGAGATTTCAGGGTGGTAGTGCGTAGGGGCCGTAAGAGTGGGAGTAGTCGTAGTAGTGGTAGTAGTAGTAGTAGTAGTAGTAGAAGTAGTAGTAGTAGTAGTAGTAGTAGTAGTAGTAGTAGTAGTAGTCGTAGTCGTAGTCGTAGTCGTAGTCGTAGTCGTAGTCGCAGTCGTAGTCGTAGTCGTAGTAGTAGTAGTAGTAGTTGTTGTTGTTATTGTTGTTGCTGTTGTTGTTGTAGTAGAACTAGCAGAAGTAGTAAAAGTAGTAGAACTAGGACTTCCACTTATGCGCCACTCTACTGCAAACCCTTAAAAAACTTAAACCCTAAACCTAACTCTAAACCCTAAAACCTTAAACCCTAAACCCTTGTGGCTAAGAGGGAAATACCCTAAGGCCCTCTTCAAGATAAAACGCCTAAGGCCCTAAATCCCTAAACCGCCTGCCTTAGGCCACGCACCTTTGCGGCCTGCTGGCCATGGCCATGGCGGCGGCCTTAGCCCGGGCTCTCCCCCGGGGCTTTTAGGGGATTAATGGGGGCTTTTAGGTGATGTTTGGTGTTTTTAGGTGATTTTTTTGCCAGGTTGTTTAAGGGATTAGGTCCTTTCAGGGCGTTTTGGGGTTTAGGTCTGTTTTATTTTTTGTTTTGCGTGGTTTTCAGGCTGTTAGGCTTTATAAGGGCTCTCCTTCAGGGATCAGGGCTTTTAGGGCTTTTGGGGTTTGGGTTTTTTCAGGGCTTGGGGGGCATTTTTAGGGCCTCAGGGCTTTCAGGGCTTAGTTTTTTGTTCAGGGTTTCGGGTGCATGGAGACTACCACATATCTCCAGGTGCTAATAAAGTAGACTTCAATCATCCTTAAACCCTAGACCCCAGTTCTCGCAAACTCCCACGTAGGATGTGTATGGACAACCTTCCCTCGCCCACCAAAAACACGAGTCCAAGAAAAGTGTCTTACTCCGCTGGCCTTCATAGGGGTTTAGGGTTTAGGGTGGGTGCATGAATCAAACGTCGGCATTAAGCCCTTTGAAGCAAGACCCGGGAGCCCTCTCGCTCACCCACGTTCCCCCTCCCCAAACCCTCAACGGTTTGGGGTTTAAGGGTTAAGCCCTCTTCTCCTGTTCTCTAAGCCCCAGTTTAGGATCTAGGATTTAAGACGGCGGCTCTGACATCCGACATCCAGGCGGGCATATACAAGTCTGTGCAAAGAGGATTTAAGACGGACCCCCTTACCTACGTGAACCCGCAACCCTCCTCCGGAAGCTTCACCCTCCAGACTAAACCCTAGCCGCCTAAACCTAAAACCCGAAAAACCTAAACCTCAAAACCCTTAGGGTTTAGGGTTTAGGGTAACCCTTGTGAGTGTCAAAAGCCCTAAACCCTAAACCTTCCTCACCGAGTCTGAGCTCCTCAGCCTCAAAGGTGGCCCTACCCGAGTCGCTTTCTGTGGCCGCATCGGTGAACGACCCGAAAGCGCCCTGGGAGACTCATAGGCTTTTCTTGGTAGTAGCGCTTCAGGCTTTAGAGTAGGGGTTTGTAAGGTATATAGTAGAGTGACCGTTACCACTTGAAGGATATACCATCTCAAAGGTTAGCTGCTAGTTTCTTTAAGAATTTGGGGTGTAAGGGTTGCTGAACCTTTTTTCAACCGGGGTTGTGGGGGAGGTGAAGGGTCCAACGTGTGAGTTGTCAACAACTTGGTACTTCGTTGCGGCTGCTCGCTTTGTAAGCTGGCGATTTCAGGCCCTCATTAAGCGGTAATTATCGACATGAGCATCTCTTTGCAGAGCTGTTTTAAGCAACACTGAAGCATAACAAAACAAGCACCTTGATTGCCAAGGGCTTCAACCTGGTCAGGAATATATAAGATTTAGGCGGTTTAGGTTGCGCCAAAGGCCCTAAACCCCAGTCCGTAACATTAAACCCTAAACCTTGTACTCTTTCAAACGCTCACTGCAACAGCACAAACCTTACCTTTGGTTAGTAGGGAATGAAGGAATGATAGTAATATATAGTATAATAGGACCCATTCCTCCATTCCCTACTAACCAAAGGTAAGAAACTCAACTCCCTAAACCCTAAACCCTAAACACCCGAAAGCCCCGGGCCTCGATTCCTAGCTTGAAGCGAGCGGGAACCGCAGGCCCTTTACACCCGGTGGTGTAGGGTTTAGGGTTTAGGGTTTAGGGTTTTGGGGTCTCTGCAGCGTTTCGGCTTCACTTGAAGCCTGAAACAAGTCCTAAACTCCCCAAAAAACCAGAAAGAAGCTTAGATAGTGACCGGGGGAACTTTAAACTTTTTTGGCCTTATACATTACCTCTATCTTAGAAAGTTTGAACTTTTTGGGCCCGGTTGTTGAAGAAGAGAGGAAGGATAGCAAATTCATGCGCCCTGAACCCTGAGCTCCAAACCCTAAAGCTCGAAAGCCTGTATCTCTAGCCCGAGGTCCCAGACCCCAAACCCTGATCCCTAAAGCCCCGAACCCTAAACCCTAAAACCCTAAACTATGGTCGCCTGAGGAGTTTGTTTTTTATTTTTGTTCATATAGAACCCAAAAAATATTTATCTCATTATGCTTACTACGGCAGTATTATGGTTCTAATGGGAGTATAGTAAACCCTAAAACCCCACACCCTGATCCCCTGAAGCCCTAAACCCCTGTCAGGCTGACAAACCGCCGAGCCGGGAGCCAAGAAGCAACCCTAAACCCTAAATAATTCCTGTGGATCCAAAAACCTACCGTTTTAAGGGTTAGACCCTCTAATTAAGGGATCACGACTCATGACCTACTATTTTGTAGGGTTTGGGGATACAGGCTACCCATATCCTTATTATAGCTATACTATACAGGAGCCCAAACCCCTACTCTAATTATAAAGGCCCCTACATGAAATCCTTTTATTTGGGGGAGGAGTCGCAGTCTGGAATTTGGGTTAATCGTTTGGGGATGTTTGGGGTTTAGGGCTTCAGAGAGACCTCGCTCAAAATAAGGTTGGAGAATATCCTGCATCGCCCCTGTTCTGTTATGCTTATTTGCACCCACAAAACACGATGTTAGCTATTACGGCCTTCATATTGGGTCTTCATGTGCGAGGCAGGGTTGCCAGCGACTCCAAAAGCCCAGTATAGTAGGAGTGGCCACGGCTCCTTTTAACGCAGAAGTCTGCAGCACGAGAACCTCAACCTCAAGTAAACTCAACCTTACGCTTAAATCATACACCCTAAACCCTGTATAGGGGAGTTTCCGCAAAAGGGAGTTTCCGCAAATTAGGGGTACCGTATTTTGGGTCCTTATAATAACTAAGGATCCTACTATTGAGGGTACTATATAAGGGTCCCCTACTTTCGGAAACTCCGATATAGGGTCTAGGCTAGGGCTTTCGGAGGTTGGGTTTCATGAACAGAGTTACTAGACAATCTAGTAGTCGTCGTCGACGTTGTGGTGGTGGTAGCGAGTAGAAAAGTCGTAGTAGCTGGTAGAAGTAGTAGTAGTAGTAGTAGTAGTAGTAGTAGTAGTAGTAGTAGTAGTAGTAGTAGTAGTAGTAGTAGTAGTAGTAGTAGTAGTAGGCACCCCCCCCTACCAACTACACTTGCTCTCAACCATGTTAAGACAACATCCATTTTACTTGGTATTTACGGCACTTTCGTCATGTGCGATCATCCTAAGAGGCCCAAAAATCGACTTGTCGAGTTTGCAAACTCGGGCTCTTGATTTTGGACTTGCTTCTGGGGGTGGGTGGGGGGGTGGGGGGGATGATGACGACAGTGTTATGCGAACACACCCAGCAGTATCACCACAAGAGCCGTTTAACTCGGTATTTACGGTACTTTCGTGATGTCATAATTTGTTACATATTCTGAGCCCCTACTTCCCGACTATGCGTATTAAACTTTGCTGTTTGGAACTGTTTGCAAAAAAACTCGAAATTGGGTGGGGGAAAGCTTCTTCGGGGATGATCACGACACTGTTTTGCGGACACCCTGAACAATATTTCCACACTCAAGCGCGCATGCACCACACACACCACTTCAAAAACAGACCCTCCTATGCAGAGGTTGGGCGGTAGGGGTGTTAGCGAGCCCCTCCCACGTACAGCTGGCATCTTTGTTTATGATGTTTAGAAGATGTTGCGCTTCAGGTTTTAGAAATGTTAAACCCTTCTTGGCAGCACCTGGGTTTTGCACGGTATTTACAGCGTTTTCGTACTATCCGACCACCTGGGGTTTATCAGTTTCTTCCCCGTCGAGCTTGCAACTCCAGCTGCTGTCGCAGTTTTGGGGCCTGAGCCCCTGCAACTTCACCGGCCGTGACACTTAAGGAAACTGAGCCTCTGCAACTTCTGCAGCTGTCACAGATAAGGAACCTGAGCCCGTGCATCTTCTGCAACTATCGCAGTTAAGGCGCCTAGCAGCTACCGCTGCCCAGCCCGGATGGAACAAGTGTAGTTGGGAGGGGGGGTGGCTAGTAGTAGTAGTAGTAGTAGTAGCAGCAGCAGCAGCAGTAGCAGTAGCAGTAGCAGTAGCAGTAGCAGTAGCAGTAGCAGTAGCAGTAGCAGTAGCAGCAGCAGCAGCAGCAGTAGCAGTAGCAGTAGCAGTGGCAGTGGCAGTGGCAGTAGCAGTAGCAGTAGCAGTAGCAGTAGCAGTAGCAGTAGCAGTAGCAGTAGCAGTAGCAGTAGCAGTAGCAGTAGCAAGTAGTAGTAGTAGTAGTAGTAGTAGTAGTAGTAGTTGTTGTAGTAGTAGTAGTAGTAGCAGCAGCAGTATTTGTTGTTATTAGTAAGTAGTTAGTAGGTAGCAGTTAGTAGTTGGTGTTGGTGTTAGGACTAGTGTCAGTAGTAGGAGTAACAGTAGTAGTAGCAGCAGTCGTAGGGGTAGTGGTAGTGGTAGGGGTAAGGGTAGTGGTCGTGGTCGTGGTCGTGGTCGTTGTCGTGGTCGTGGTCGTGGTCGTGGCTGTGGCTGTGGCTGTGGCTGTGATTGTGGTTGTGGTTGTTGCAGTCGAAGCAGTAGCAGCAGTAGCAGTTGCCGTAGCGGTCGCGGGTCGCGGTAGCGGTGGTTGTGGTCGTGGTCGTAGTCGTCGTCGTCCTCGTCCTCGTGCTGGCACTGGCGCTGGTGCTGGTAGTGACAGCTGCTGCAGCAGCTGCAGCCTTCGTCGAGGAGTGGTCGTGGCAGGTTTGCCGAAGTACTGAGACAGTCAAAAAGAGGGCGTTCTTTTTTTAAACCACAAGCGCAACGGTCGCAGAATTTTCATTTGCAGCAACATTCTCGTGGGGTTGCAGTTGGAGTTGCAGGTGCATCGCGCACTTTCTTACGCTTAACCCCTCCGTGCCGCCAGCTCTGTGCTGCAGTCGTCGGTGGCTGGACACCACTCCGGGAGCCCAACGACGATGATTTGGCAGTGTGGACGAAGGCCGGGCGAGTGATTGGTTTCATCCCAGAGAGCCCAAGCCCTGCAATACACCATAGTTTACAAGAGCCCTTTCAATACAAGTATGGAAGGTGTGCGCTTCTATGTACATGTGTAGGTGCAAAAGCAAACACCATCCAAACACTCTCTGTGTGTATGTATGTACCTATATACACGATGTAAACATGTGCTGATACATTTACATATATTATACACAACATACAGATCTAACGCATATATATATATATATATATATATACATGTATACACATGTATATAGTACATACTATATAGTATATACTATATAGTACATACTATATATACTATATCTATATATATATATATATATATATGCATACATGTATGTATGTATATATATATATATATATATATGAACTTCCTTACTGTTGATGGTCTTGGGCTCTTCGGGGTGCTTTTGGCCTGGACTCCAAGCCCTGCTACTTTGGTCCCTCATCCTTGGGTTCCTTAAAAAATTCCGCAAAGGCTTCCTTAAAGGGACCCATAGGGGATCTGCAGGGTTTAAGGGGTTTTGGAGTTTAGGGTTTAGGGTTTAGCTAGGATGCCCAGCAGTAGTACCCTTATTCCCTTTGTGTAGTTATCCAATACCAAAAAGGGAGCCCATATTATTTCTAGGTTACTGAGCATACTAGTTGGGGATTCGTATGGCTGCCATTGAGCGGCTTGGGCTTAGGGCCTAGGGCTTCAGGTTAGGGTTTGGAGTCTAATTTTAGGGGTTTAGGGTTTTTATGCATTCTCCAGGTGTAAAAAAAAGGGTTCAGGGTTGAGGCTTAGGGTTCCAGTAGGCGTCCTAAGGTTAATCGAACTGAGACGTGGGATGTACTGAGAGACCCTGAACCCTGAAGAAGGACTTTCGGGATGTCGAAGGGTTCAAGTACAGGTCCCTACAATCCCGCTCGAAGGCGTAAGGGTCCAAAATAGGGACCGACCCTTTTGGGTACATATAGGGTATATGGTAGGCACGATAAGGATCCCGGGGCTAAGGGCCCATACTAGGCGCCCATGGTTTTATCAGCATGGTCCTGAAGAGTTTGGGGTTTGAGAGTTTCGAGTCGAAGCTAGCTGGGAGTTTCCGAAAATAGGGGTACCTTATTTAAGGGGCCTTATAATAAGGAGAATACTATTTGGGGTACTATATGCGGGTCCTCTATTTTCGGAAACACCCAGCTCGTTCGCCGAAAGGTGCTTTCGCTGTCGTCTTCGGGCCGTTTTTGTGTCCACTGCTAATACCAAAACCCTATTCTAATGGTTAAGGTCCCTACACGATAGTACCCCTATAGATCCCTTGTAGACCCGTTTTAAGAAACCCTATAAAGGAACCCCTATTCTAATGATCAAGGCCTCTAAAGTAAGCCCTAAGCCCGAGAAGCAGGTCGTGAAGACTGTGAACACTGACTTGGCAAGCAAAGGGCGCCCGGGCAGCAGAGCCGGTTCTCAAAGTTCAACTGCTGAAGGGTTTAGGGCTTTAGAGTTTAGGGGGTTAGATTCTGCCTGGTCTAGGGTTTACGGATACGCCGTGGTGTCTTGAAATTTGTTGCCTGTAGCCTTTCGGCAGCGACGAAGAATGCTGGATTACACCCGTTGCTGGTTTGTCGCACCATAGCTACCCAGAGGCCCCTGGTTGTTGGGTAGTTGACAAAATTAAGGTCCTTTTTGGGTACCCTAAAGAATAGGTGCCGTACTATAATAAGGACCCCAAAAAGCGACCATAAGTTCGACAACCACCCATATACTTTCAGCTCGGCGAAGGCCCGTATGCGAAAATGGTGATGAACTACAACCCTGAACTTGATCCCTCTAAACGTGCCTGAATCATTGCCCCTAAACCCTAAACCCTACAGTTGCCATGAATCGACAGGACTCCTCAGCAAGTTTCAACCCAAGTCGTGGCCGGGATCAAGCCGCTTGCCTCAGAGATCTTCTGCATTCTTCGGCCTTGGAGTTAGAGGACGTGATATAGGGTTCCTTTAAAGGGGCCTATAGGGGCTGCTATAAGGGATCTATAAGGGTACTGTAATATAGGGGCCTTGGTAATTAGAATAGGGTTTTGAGGCCCATTATGCTATAGTTTTAATACGGGCCCTTAATAATTAGAATAGGGTTTTGGGGCATAGTATTATACCTATAGTCACACTAAGGACCCCCACCCCCAAACAAAAAAACATGTGTAGGTAATAGGTAGTTGCTACGGCCCTTAAATGAAGTGAGAGACCTTTGGTTCATAGCTGCGAGGTACAAGTTCATGTTCGAAGACGGGAGCAGCGTAACCGTTCTGAGCCAGCCGTGGACGGATACCCTCGACGTGCTGGAGGTGCAGGAGCCATAGCAGATTGCAGCACAAAGGCCTATTTCAGTTTCCAAGCGTTGCTGACTGGGACTGGAAGACATGCAAGTGAACCCCGAAGCAAAGCATCTCTGCCAGCAGCTCTAAAGTTTAAAGCTTGAGGTTTGAACTTATGCTTTTCGCTGCTGATTCCCATTGTTTCGTTATGAGGTTATAGATATTCTTATTGATACCTGAAGCGTCCCTTCAGCAACGCTAGATTAGGCACGCAAGGCATGCTTCACCCCGGCATGTGTTCCAAACAAATGTTGACCTTCTTTTGATAACTCCACCTTGGGAACATCTGCCAGATGCTCGGATGTTCCGACTCAGATGCGATTAGGCTGGTACAGGGGCTGGTACAGAAGCCGCATTCTGCCATGCCAAAAGCAACGTGTGCATGTGGAAACCGCGGGCGGGCGCATGGTCTTGCTGCACACAGAACACAGCCATTACATGCCCAGACACGATGTTCAAGGCCACTTGGGCTGTTGGCGCCTGTAGCAGTGGCGGCGACATGTTTGTGGGTTGGCATCGTAGTCGCAGTAGCAGCGGCAGTAGCAGCAGTGGCAGGACTCACAGTGGGGGATAGCAGCGCAGGTTTAGGAGTGTGATATTTGGGCAGGGTTCCTTTCAGGGATCTGAAAAGGGTACTATTGCAAGAGCAAGTTTCATGTAAGGCCCATAAGCACTAGACGAGGGTTTTGGGGTGTAGTACAATGCAGCTATGGCCCTTATAGACCCCTTTAGCGGCACCCTGAAGCCTTCAAAGGACCCCTAGGAATCGCCATAGATCCCTTTAAAGGTTCCTACATTACCCTTAGCCCTACTATACGCACCATCAGGAGATACCACTCGTATATGTTCAGGCCTCTGCATGAGGGGTTGTCAAAATTAGGGTCCCTTTTGGGGGGTTTAGAGTTTAGGGTTTACGGTTTAGGGCTTTGGGTTTCTATATGGGTAGGTGTGAAATTTATGGTCTTTTTTGGGTACCCTAAATATTAGGTGCCGTATTAGAATAATAAGGACCCAAAAAAGGGACCCCAATTTTGACAACCACCCACGTGAGAAGTATGGCGGTGTTAATGTGCCCTCCCCTACACTAGCACGGGACCAAAAAAGGTTGAAGGTTTGGGGACGACTGTCTTCCTGGCATATGCATAATCCTTAAATAGGGACGACTGTCGTTCAATAGAGTGGGCCGTCTAGAGTGTAGGGGTCGGGAGAATCAAGTTCATTTTCCACACCCTCGAGGTATCCGGTCCGAAAAAAAGGGTTTGTGGGCTAGGAGTTCCAGCTTTCTGGTCATTTTAGAATTCGGCTTTATGGGAGTTTCCGAAAATTAGGGGCACCTTATTTTGGGGTACTTATAATAAGGATCCTACAAATTAGGGTGCTATATTTGGGTCCCTTATTTCCGGAAACTCCCTTCATGGCTCAATCCTGCTGCTGGCTCAGACAAAAGCTTGCTCTGCAAATAGAAGCTGGAGCCATGGAATTTTCAGGCCGGCAGGGTTTTGGCTGTTTTGGCTTCGGGTTTAGGGTTTATGGGGTTTAAGGTTTAGGGAGGGTTTTGGCTCACATAACGGTTGGTGGGGGTTTCTGGTCAATAGGTTTAGTGGCTTGAGGTTTGGGGGGTCAGGCGATATTTGTGTCTTGTAGCTTGGGGCTCAGGGATAGTTCTGTATCGTGGGTTTGGGGCTTGGTGTTTCCAGTTAGGCAAGGCGTGCAGAAGTTCAAGTAGAGCCGTTTGACATTTCCTTGCAGCTTGCTCCGACTGCGTGCGTTACTGAAACCTTCCTCGGGGACGAATAAATGTGGACGCCTGGTTGATTAATGTCACCCTTTCTATGAATAAAGTGTATAACCGAGATCCGAGACATTGGGGCCCTTACGAACCCTGGCCGAGAAATCCACAACTTCTCCAAGGGTAAAAGGAGGGACCCTTAATAGAGACCCCTACCCTATAATGTATATAATAGCTATATTCAGGGTATATACCTAGGGGTCCTTATTCAGGGTCCCTCCTCTTACCCTTGGAACTTCGGACAACCTGTGGCCCATCCACGGCGTCTCCTAGGTTTCACAGCAACCGGCTTATTCGGATTTACGTGTTTAGGGTCTGCTGCATCCTTTGAAGTCATACCTGATGAGTGGCACGGCAGACTTGAAGGTTTGCTTTAGTCGCTCATTTACTTCCCAGCAGAGGCGTTGCAGGCTGGATACAAAAGGGTATAGGGTTTAGGGCATGATCGACGCGAGTCCGTGTGAGAGAGAGAGGGTTAAGGGTTTTGGCTTAAGGGTTTAGGGTTTAGGGTTTAGGGCAAACTCGAACCCGGATGCCACTAGATGGGAGATCCTCGCGACATTCTCTAAGCCAATCCAATCGCAAGCCCTTGAAGTTTACGAACTCTTAAACCCTAAACCCAAAGCCCTACACACCCGATAACGGGTCGGAATAATTCTCCGTAACCTCCCCTTACACAGCCCCTACATGATCACAGTATATATCTCCGAAAACGGTGTTCGAGTTGCTGAGGCCCCCAGGGGCCGTGAGGCGAACCCCTATCAACCCAAAAGTTGAGGCCACCCTGGAATGAACCACTAACTTACTGAGCCAATTGGAGAACTTTAAACTTCTCGGCTTTATCTATAGGGTCCATCCTAAAAAGTTTGAACTGTTTTTGGGCCTGGCTATTGGAGGAGACAATTAGCTTTAAACCCTAAACTGTTATGGGTACCCTTAGGAGAACCCTTGTAGGAGCCCCTTAAGAAGTCTTTATTATGGGCATGAAGGCCCCCTACCCCCCTCCCCCTTCCCCTACCCCTTTAAGGGCCCCTATGGCCTATGACTTAAGAGAACCCTTCTAGGGGTCCTTAAGGCTACTAGAACTGTGCCCACAGGTGAAGGCGAAGGGCAGCGAGAACTCGACCCTCGCAGAGATAAGGTGGATTTCAGGCTTTCGGGTTTGGGGCTACCCTGAACCCCTGAACCTTTAAAGCCTATAAACCCTAAACCCCTAAACTTCTAAACCCTAAACCCCTAAACCCTAAACCCTAAACCCCTAAACCCTAAACCCTAAACTTCTAAACCCTAAACCCCTAAACCCGACACCCTAAGGCAGCCTAAGGGGTTTTGGCGCTCGGATGTAGGGGTCCTCACCGATCGACTCAGGCTATCTCAGTGTTGATTGAAAACATGAGCAGTGTTAAGAACCAAAGGATCCAAGTATCGTTGTAGTATAGACTTATTGGGTATTTAGGGGGGGTCTAAGTAAACTTATTGGGTATTTTGGGGGTGGGTATTTTGGGGGTCTAAGTATATAACATTGGTGATGCTTGGACCCTTTGGGAGAACCTGGGGTGAGGGCTTACTTTCTGGTTCTTAGTAGGGAATGGGGGAATGGATTATGGAGACTATTAATTATTGCGGATTATTCAGGGTCTACTACAGGGATCCATTCTCCCCATTCCGTGACCCCGAAACCCTCAACCCTATAGATCCCCTTCAATTCAAGTATCCCTTAAAGACACCCTAAATCCTCATAGGGATCCATTCCACCATTCCCTGCTAAGAACCAGACAGTTTAGGGTAGGAGCATGGAATCGGTCACCATGATGACAGGTAGTAGTACCCAGACCCCCGGGAGGATCCAAAAAGTAGATCCATTAATGGGGTTCCTCTAAAGTACCCTTAGTAGTATAGGGTCTCAAGTTAGGGGATCTACTTTCTAGATCCTCCCGGGGGTCTGGGTATAGGGAGCTTAGTTGGGATCTATGGCTTATGAGTTTGCCTGTCAGGGTGGAGGACTTAGGGGTGATAATATCAAGACTCCAGGATTTGGGGTTTTGGTCGTGGGCTTTGTTTGGGCGACCCAGATAACCAAATATTGAGAGTTTGTGCTCAGGGATTTAAGTTTAGGGATTGTCAAGATTGTGTCCTCACGATGCTTTCAACCGTTCGCGTGTCATGTGCTTGTGGTTAATGTCCGCAACTTGCAGAACGGTTTAGCAAGCTCGCGGCAACCTGCTACACTACCAAGCCTGCTCGCCCATCTTGCAAACCCTAAACACTATAGACATCTCTAGAACCTCTACGCCTTATGAGCCCTAGACCTTATAAGCCCTACGTCCCAGAAATCTCCAGCCCAAGCCCTGTAAGCCCTTAGGCCCTGAACCCGAAGGCGCATCCCTAAGGTGGGTTATAACTGGGATTAGGGTTTATGGTACCCTCGTCTTTGACTTGAGTAGCTGAGTAGGTGACCCCAGAATTGAAAACGTTAACCTTTTTGGGGGCTGGGGTACTAAGCCCCTAAGTAACTCCCCATGACTCTCCAAGTAGATTAAACTATGATTGTAATATGGAGCCCCCAAACTTGTTTAGGTAATTATTCAGGCACCTATATTAGTTCTCATCCCCAAATCCCAGGCACGTGTTTTGTCGTTTTGTATGGACAAGACTTGCAGATACAGTGTCGGGTTTAGATTTTGATATTTAGGGGTTTCGGGCATAGGTCGCAGTACGGGTTCCACAAAATCCAAAAGGAAAGCGAACCCGAAGCGCTAAACAATCTAATTTTTCAATCCGAGAGTTGGACGTCGATCTGAAGATCGTCGAGCTTGTTTTGGGAAGTTTGTGATTAAAGGTGCGGTTTAGGATGCTTCAGGATTAGGGTCTAAAGTGGGCGGTCCCAAAACGCTGTAGCAGTTTTAGGCTTTTAAGCAGGAGCTTTAGAGCTTTCACCGCCCAGGAAATCCACGTGAGAAACACATTTCTCCACTTCAGCTGCCTCACTGACATGAGCGATTTTTTGGAAGGGTATAGTGTTTGGGTTCTGGATTTTGTTGTTGGGGGACTTTCTTCAAAGTGCCTATACTATGTACCCTGTGGTTGTGGTTTCCCTGACATTGTCACGTATCGTCTAAGACTCGCAGTTGGGCTACGGGCTAAATGGGTTCATATGACTATCAGACTATCCGCTACGCTTTGACGCCCCTTGGTACTCTAGGCTTGCTTTGGCGATGTACATATGCCAGTTCTGAACCTTGTCCATCCAGAAGCATGGAAAAGTTTGTTTCGAGTTGTTTGAGTATAGGTTGTTCATGGCTTTGCTCGTCGTTCTTACTTGTGGGTATAGGCGAAAAGTTGCGATTGTTGCAGCAGTGGGATGTCGATAGTACATGTAAGTATGAAAGTAGCAGCGAAGGTTTACAGGATCATCGGTCAGAGTAGGCAGCCGGTCATGAGCAGGGTTTGTGTCGCCCACATTGCTTTTCGCTCAAGGCATGGATGTAACAACCTTCAACCTCTGGACCGTTAACCCTCAACCAAGGTCAAGTCGGTGAAAAGAAAGAAGGCCTCAAGAGGAGCAAAAGCCGCTTGACTGCAAGGCAATACGACTACCACTACGAAAAGTGCTACCACCACTGCTGCTGCTGCTGCTGTTTCTACTACTACTACTACTACTACTACTACTACTACTACCACCACTACCACTACCACTACCACTACCACTACGACTACCACTACCACTACCACTACCACTACGACTACGACTACTACTACTACTACTACTACTACTACTACGACTACTACTACTCCTACTCCTACTCCTACTCCTACTCCTACTCCTACTCCTACTCCTACTCCTACTCCTACTCCTACTCCTCCTCCTACTCCTACTCCTACTACTACTACTACTACCACTACTACTACTACTACTACTACCACTACTACTCATAATAATATTCACTGCTGCTACTGCTACTGCTTCCACCACTACCACTGCGACGCTACGACGACGACTGCTACTACTTTTGACTCTACTATAACTACCACTGCCGCTACCACTGCGACTGCCACCATGACCACGGCGACTACTACTACCACTACCGGTATTACTATCTCTACTACTACAACTACTAATCCTGCGGCTGGTGCTGCTGCCAGGGACTGCTACTGCTAGCGCTACTTCTACTCCTGTCCTATTCCTACTGCTACTACTTGCTGCTACTACTGCTGGTGCTGCGGCTGCTACTGCTGCCATTGCTGCTGCTACTGCTGCTACTCCTACTGCCACCACCACCACCACCACCACCACCACACCACCACCACCGCCGCCGCCACCACCACCACCACCACCACCGCGATTGCTGCGACCGCGGCTACGACGACAACAACGACTACTACGTCCGGTGCTCGCTCTGAAAGGAGGGTGGCTACTGACTACTGATTGCGCCACTGCTAGCGCGGTCACCATGTTTCCGTCATGGGCACCACCGCCATCATCAAGACTGCAACTCGATGCAATGCGCCTGCTTGAAACCGATAGCCATGAAGCTCAAGCACGTCATGCACACAACGGCTGCATTTTACATATGTTTGCAAAGACAGTGCTTGCGTGGTGTCGAAGCACAGTTTGCGACTGCCGCATGCACACCTTTTTCGCAGTCCAGCTTAATGGACAGAGCTAGGTCAGCTGGATATGGGCCATCTCTCACATAGTCAGCACATTTGAGCCATTCGGTATTTTCCCAATGCTGCGCATCAGCATGCTGTCCGGTGGAGAGGTGGCGAGCATGCCACTGCAAGATCTGAGCGATGTGAGGGCATTAAAGGAGCAGTTGCACCGATTGCACGGCTTGCCCACCCGATTCAGGCAGAGGGTTTTCCATTGCGGCAATCCTGTAGATGATGAAACCCCTCTGGATGCCGCCATGGAAGTGGGGTTGGTCCTGCTTTCATATAACGCGTGCTCGGAGACACAAGCAGAAGAGCTGGCGACTGCCTCCGCAAACGGCTCCGTCTGGGAGGTTCGGTTTTGAACAACGTCCCACCAACACGTAAATCCTGACTGTTCCTCACACCAATGACCCGAAATCTTACGCTAAATCGTAAAGCCTTAGTTCCAAGTCCAAATAAATCCTTAAACGAGGCCTTGAAGTCACCCGTATAGCTAAACCCGAAACCTTGCGCTTAAGCCCCAAACCCCCAAATGAACCCTTGTAGAACCCCTTGTAGACAAACTCCCCTTTGCCAACTTCGCCAAACTGTGAGGGTCGATACTCCTACCCTGCGACCAATCACACTGAAGAAACTGTGGTTTTGCAAAACTCTATACGGCTTTACAGGGTTCTTCTGGCTGGTTCCGCAGGTTTGAGTTCAGGGTTAAAGCGTTACTCATGGATCACTGGGACTTAGTTGATAGGGCTATAGAGTCGGATATCCGCACTCTTGGTGCTTAGAAGTCGACGTAACCGACTTTCCCGGAGCCCTGGGCTTCCAAGTGCACTCCTAAACCTCTACTTACATCCCAGGCATGCTTCTGACTTAAAACCTGCAAATGGGAGTTTCCCAAAATTAGGGGTACCTCATTTTGGGGTCCTTATAATCCGGATCCTATTATTTAGGGTACTATATTGGGGTCCCCTATTTTCGGAAACTCCCAAATGGAACCATATTTGAGGTCGAGGCCATGTTGCAGCAGCCCTGGCACCCAGACATGGTCGATGGGCGTGGCGACAGCCCAGCAACTTCGTAGCCGAGTGGATACACTTTACACTTTTTGGGGTAGTATAACCCACTATAAGACTGAAAGTGTACACTTTTGGGGGGCTTAAACTAAGGCAATGAAAGCATCTGCGGGAGGACACGTGGAAGTCGTGCGATTGCTGCTGGAGGCCGGCGCCAACATTGATTTAGCAAACGCTAGGGATACCACTGCCCTGATGGTGGCTTCTGAGAATGGCCACGTGGAAGTCGTGCGTTTGCTGCTGGAGGGAGGCTGCGACAAGAACTTGGCCAATAGTTCGGGTTTCACTGCGCTGATGCTGGCTTCTCGAGCAGGGCACGCGGAAGTCGTGCATTTGCTGCTGGATGCTGGTGCCGACAAGGACCTGGACAACATTATTAGTTCCACTGCGCTAATGTTAGCTGCTCAACAAGGCCGCGAAGAAGTCTTGCGATTGCTGTTGGAGGCCGGCGCCGACACGAACTTGGCCGACAACTCGGATTCTACTGCCTTGATTCTGGCTTCTGCAAACGGCCACAATAAAGTCGTGCGTTTGCTGCTGGAGGCCGGTGCCGACAAGAACTGTGCGGACACTGGCGGTAGCACCGCATTGGTGGTAGCGTCTCGTCGCGGCCAAGTGGAAGTCGTTCGTTCGCTGCTGGCGGCTGGTGCCGGCAAGGACTCAGCCGACCATTCGGGTAGTACTGCCCTAATGCGAGCTTGTCAACGAGGCAACGTGGAAGTCGTGAGTTTGCTGCTGGAGGCCGGCTGTGACAAGGACTTAGCCGACCGTTCGGGCAACAGTGCCGTCATGTTAGCTGCGTGCAGCGGCCATATGGATATCGTGCTTTTGCTGCTGGCTGCCGGTGCAGACAAGGACTTAACCGACAGGTTGAGCAACGCCCTGATGCTAGCTTCTCGTGTCGGCCATGTGGAAGTCGTGCGCTCGCTGCTGGCGGCTGGCGCCGGCAAGGACTTTGCCGATAGTTCGGGGAGGACTGCCCTGATGCTGGCTTCTCAAAAAGGCAGCGCGGCAGTCGTGCGTTTGCTGCTGGAGGCCGGCTGTGACAAGGACTTGGCCGACAAATCGGGTAAGAGTGCCCTCATGTTAGCTTCTGGGGACGCCCAAGTGGAAGTCGTGTGTTTGCTGCTGGCAGCCGGTGCAGACAAGGACTTAGCCGACACTTCGGGTAGCACTGCATTGGTGCTAGCGTCTCAAAGCGGCCATGTGGAAGTCGTTCGTTCGCTGCTGGCTGCTGGTGCCGGCAAGGACTCAGCCGACAATTCGGGTAGTACTGCCCTGATGCGAGCTTGTCAACGAGGCAATGTGGAAGTCGCGCGTATCCTGCTGGAGGCCGGCTGTGAAAAGGACTTAGCCGACAGTTCGGGTAACAGCGCCCTGGTGCTCGCTTCTGGAGAGGGCAAAGTGGAAATCGTGCGCTTGCTGTTAGAAGCCGGTGCCGACAACTCACGTTCCACTGCCCTCATGCTGGCTTCTCAGCGAGGCAACGTGGGAGTCGTGCGTTTGTTGATGGAGGGTGGTGCCGACGAGAACTCAACCAGCAAACGGCGTCACGGCTTCTCCGATGGCATCCCCAAGAAGCGCGCCTGATGGCCGACTTGAGCTGATGACGGAGAACGGATTCAAGTCAAAATCCAAAGGAGCAGGGGTCTTAGGTGGTCTTAGCAGTAGCAAGTAGTCTGAACATACGGAAACAGAGGTTGCAAAAGGTCATCAGTACTAGCAAAGAAGCCGAAATAATTAGTAAAAGTTTCCCGGTAAAGCCCCTAAACAACAGCAGCTTCAATATACCTCCCTTCAGATTTTGGTCGGGGGGGGGGGGGGGGGGGGGGGGGAAGCGTGGCGTAGAGGCTCTGAGTGCGGGGGGATGGGGGCGCAGGCAACTGAACTACTATAGGGGCCTCAATAATTACCTACCTACGATTTTTTTGGGGGTTCCTTGTTTTAAGTATGGTATAATGTACCCCCAAACCCTATTCCAACTATTGAGCCTCCTATATTATACTGTCCCATCATTGGCCGGTTCATGCATGTCTCTTGACAAGACGGCTCCCTCAACCTACCCAAGATGATATCACTTGCGTCCCAGGTTGGAGCGGCTCAGATCCCAGCGATGGCGACTCCGATCTTCAAGACTCGGCCGCTTTTTCCTAAAAAGAGTTCTTTGGGGCTTAAGGGTTGTTAGGGGTTTTAGGGTTTTAGGCAAAAGGTTAAACAGCTAGGGCCTATAGAGTAGGCCCTTATTCTCTTTTTTAGGGTTCAGGTTCCCTTATGAGCCCCTTTAAACCAAAAAGGGGCACCCTTGTTATTCCTAGTTTACTCTTGGGTCTAGAAAGAGTTCTTTGGGGCTTTAGGGGCTTTTAGGGGTTTAGGGTTCAGGGTTTCTGTTAGGTTTTAGAGTTTTTGGGTTTAGGAGCTTCGATGAGGTTAAGAGGGGCCTTTTTTCAGCGGGCACGCTAGACTAGAGCATACTGCGCGAGCTATATAAGTATGGGCCTTAACAAGCAGAATCGGGTTTTGGGGTAGACTATCCAGTAGTTCTCCGGTACGGCGCTCCTCAAAGTGTTTGAAGTGCAGTAACCTCGATCCCGTAGGCGGTCTCCAGCACGGACAAAAAGAAAGCAGCTCGCAAACTCGCAAGGTCGCAAATTCGCAGAGCTGCGGCCAGAGCCCAAGGGCTCAGCTGTGAACGAAAATGGCCCAGTGCGGCAACATGAAGCCCGACAAGGTCCGTGGAATAATCCTGCACAGAAAACGAGTTCAATCTTGAAAAGGCAAGGCCAGCTATACACTCCATCCTCAACAACGAGAAGCCTTCATCCGCATCGTCCGGGAAGGTTGGAGGGGAGGGAGGGAGCACGGGACCGAATGTGTTACCAAGCCAGAGGGCCACTGCGCGCATGCCGAGTCCAGCGCCACAGTGCAGTGGCAAGGGCCCGCCGGGTCAGGCGAGCAGAAAACAGTCCCACGTCTTCACAATGCCCAAGGATGAGGAGGCCAAAACATACACGAGTATTCGGTAGGCGACGGCATCAGAGTCAGACCCCCGGGAGGATCCAAAAAGCAGATCCCTTAATGGAGGTTCCTATAAACTACCCTCAGTAGTATAGGGCCCCAAATTAGGGGATCTACTTTCTAGATCCTCCCAGGGGTCTGGGGAGTCATAGAGGAGGGAGACCGCCGGCCCCTACGGCGCCCCTCAACCCAGAGAACCCAGTACCCCCTTGATTAAGGTATAGACCTTAAATCATATAATATTAAGGCCTCTATAATTTAAGGATATTTAAGGTATATTCCTTAATTACGTGGTATTGGGTTCTCTGGGAACTTGGTGGGCGGACGCACTTCAGCGCTCGACTGCAGGGAGGGCAGAGCACGTCGCCGCGCTGCGTCGCTGGAGCTCCTGTGGCTCTGGAGGCTCTTTCCCAGAGATCCCAATACCCCTTAATTAAGGAATATACCTTAAACTATAGAGGCCTTAATATTATAATTTAAGGTATATTCCTTAATTCAAGGCTATTGGGTTCTTTGGGTTGTCCCAGTGGTGGGGAGGCGGAAGTGGAGGAAGCCGGGGATTACGGCTCATTATTTAAATCCTACAATACCTTATAAGGACCCTAAGATATGGGAATAATGGTATATTCCATGTTATGGGTATTGCAGGGTTTATGTCATCAACAATACCACGGCTCCAAGTCCCTAGGCCCTTGCTTAAAGCCTAAACACCACTGCAACCCCTACACTTTCAAAGGCTCCAGAGCTTCGAAGCCCTGACTTAAGCCCAAACCCTATCAAGCTTCAACAAAAACAGCACCCGAACCGTGCAGTGCTGAATGACTACTTGGAGGTTCATGGTAGCCAAAAGCGGAGCCACAAGTCCCCTAATACTGTATGGGTTATGACTATATAGTTACCCTACGTATAACCTCACTGAACCCTACACTCCATTCGTAACACTATAAAGCTCGAAGCCCTAACACCCCAAAACCTGCATCTAAAACCAACCATACATATTCAGCCCAGATGTCAGTGAAACAGATAAAGATCAACCCGTAAGACTAGCAATGATAAGAACCACAAACAGACTGATAATGACAGATAATACCATTACTACTAGCTACTATGTAGTAACCTGGTAGTCGAGTAGGTAACCTTTAACCCTGTTTTGGGTAGCATAGTCCCTATATAAGCCGTATATAACCATAAAGGTTAACCTTTAGTTCCCCATGATACACGGCAAGTAGGGTAATAGTATTAGTAGTAGCCTCACTCACCAAACTGCCAAGGAATCCTCGGGCGTTGCGGGCGACGTCATGGAGCGTTGGGCCGCTTCCTTGCAGTCTCTTCGTGTGTATCCTTGTGCCCCGCTGTCTTTTGGAAGGGTTAGGATTTGCGGTATGGGCGTTGGTTTAGGAAGGGTCTCGGGCTGACTAGAACTTTAGCATTCAATAGGGTGGTTGTCAAAATCATGGTCCGCCATTTGGGTACCCTGAATACTAGGTGCCGTATTATATTAAGGACCCAAAAAGAGACCCTAATTTTGAGAACCACCCAAGAGAACCCTACTTGGAGGATCATGGGACTTAGTAAGTAGGGTTATAAGTACCTTAGTTAAGGCTATATGTAACTATAACTGTAGTTGCCTTACGTATAACCCGAATTACTAAGTCCCATGATCAAAAAAAGTCCCATGATCCTTTAAGTAAACCCTTAAACCCCGAAGCCCAAAACCTGCCGAAGCCCAAAACCTGCCGAACTCCAGACCACGGAGCCTGAATCAAAGCCCGAACCCCTGAAAAACCTACCTTTTTCAGGGTTCCTTATTATGCTTTCCTTATCTAAGTCCTCAAAACGGTAGGTTCTTCAGGGTTAAGGTAAACCCTACAACCCTACTTTCAAACACTAAAGCCATAAGCCGCAAAACCTTAAAGAGCCCTAGAGCCCCGAAACCCTCAACACCCTGAAGCCCATAGAACTCAGAAGGGGCCCCAACCCTGTAAATAGTGGTATAATAAAATATACAATAGGGCCCTAATATAATCCTTATAGTCACTATTACAGGGTGGGGGCAGATTCTAACATAGAACCCAGTGAGGCACCTGAAACCCTAAGCCCTAAACCCCCTAAACCCTAAATAGAACCCAGTCTGCGATTGTGCGAGTGTGCGAGTCGAAATAGAACCCAGTGAGGCCAACATGGCCAGACTAGCTCAGCCAGATGACGAGGGAGTCAATCACTTCATTCTCAACTCCCCGTGCCCTGGCAGCCTTTGAGGTCCTGGAGCGATACAGGGTTTACGGTTTAAGGGGTTCAAGGTGTAGGTGCTTAGGGGTTTAGGGTTTAGGGTGTAGGCTTTAGTTTAGGATCTGGCTAGCCCCAAGCGCAGTGGCAAAAAAAGGTGTTGAGGTGTTTAGGATTTAGGGGTTTAGGGTTTAGGGGTTTAGGGTTATAAGATCGACAATACCAGTCAAAACCTGTCATTCTTAAATAACAACAATACTCATAGCGGGTCATAGGGTTTTCGGCTAGGGTTTTCTCTAGTTTAAATGGTTTTGTGTGTGTTTTTTGCAGGGTTCCCCAGTGTCTGGCAGGGGTTTCCCAGGATCATGTGAGGCTTGAGGGGGTTGTTTTACAATGTGTTGATGATTCAGGTTTAGGTCGGAGTTGAGCATTCGCGGTTTTCGTGCCTAAGGCTTTAAAATCTGAGCGTCAAGATCGCGGATATAGCTGTCGGACTTCCTATGTTCAGCCCGTGCCAATTGACAGCGCTTTTGCTGGCACCCCAATTTACACTTCTGAAGCTCGCATGTGCAAAAACTGCCACTCATGACCCTGCACCCTAAACCCTGTCCCCTCAACCGTTTTCCCTAAACCCTCAACCCTGCCTACGCCGGAGATACTTGGAGGTTCATGAGTAGTTATAAGTGGGGTTATAAGTAGGGTAACTACAGTTATAACCCATATTAAGAACTTATGACCCCACTAAAAACTACCCATGAAACTCCAAGTACTGCAACCAAGCCCACGTCCAGGAACGGGGATAGTCACTTGGCAGCAGCTGGAGACGATATGGACCTTTGCATGGCCCAGCTCTGGCTTCAGAAGCTTTACCTGCGGATCCCAAAACCCTCTGTTTAAAGGGTTAGACCCTGTAATTAAGGGGTCATAATCTACTATTTTGTAGGGCTTGGGGATACAGGTAGGGTTTAGGGTTTCATTCACTGAAGGGCCCAGAAAGCCCAATGCAAGTCACTCAAGAGTGAGTCCTTGCGAATAATTGGTGAGCTTCAATCGTTGCGTATGTGATGTTTGCTGGCTAATTATAGCAGCTTCTTGTGGCGCTTCTTCTCTGATCACTGACCTGAACAGTAGGAAGAAGGAGCCAGAAGGAGAGTTTTGGTTTTCGGTCATTTGCCAGCTCCCTTGTTCCAACAGCAGTTGCAGACAGTCAGCCTTTCATCTTCATCAAAAAGCTTCGGGTTTAGTGTGTTTTCTCTGCCCCTTCTGGCACATCAGAGATGGATGTCCAGACTCAATAGCTTTTTCCAAGAGGCTATTCGGGAAGTGGGGAGTCCCACCTAGTCGGATGCAGCACGGCGAACCCGAAACCCGAAAACCCCCACCCTAACCCCTTAATCCCTAATCCCTGAGCCCCAACACCCCCTTCCCACCCAACAACGAAACATAGGGTGAACAACTCTACCAGCAGCCCTTTCAGGGCTAGAGGGTCTTAAGGCTTGGAGTTTAGGGGAGGTTGAAAGCTATTCATGAGCGTTGTGTCCCTGGGTTCAGGGCTGAAAATAATGGCTGGAATGAGTATAGAACTAATAGTAGATAGTACTGTCCTCTAGGGTTCCGGATCATAGTTGCAGGATAGTATCCCCAAACACCGTTATAAGGGCACCACTTATGTGGGGGTTTGAGGGCTGGGTTTTGCGGCTTGGTAGGTTAGAGCCGAGGGTTGTTCCATGGCTCCATGAAGACGTTGAAGTTCAGACCCCCCTACGCAAGGTTCAGTCAGGGTCCAGTTGAGGCAGAGCTGGCCCTCTTCCTGAAACCCCAAACCCTAAAGCCCTAAACCACGTCCTTTCTAGGTAGGAGGGAAAAACACCCTCAACCTCAGATGTCCTATCCTTGCCACAGGCGATTCTTTTACAAATGACCATTCGGAGTACAGCTGCTTGGCTGTTATGGAGACTGTAGAGTTCAGGATCTGGGGGTGGTTGGGTTTAGGCTCTCCGGGTCGAGGTTTTAGGGGTTCCGCGTTTAGGATTTAGGGGTTTCCGGTTTAGGGTTTAGGGATTGAGTTCTAATGATGACGATCTTATGAGAGGCGTGGGGTTCATTCGCATGACTTCGCAGCATGTGTGGGGACTTGATTTGCGGGCCTCTCATGTTGAGGCTTCAGGTTCTGAGTCTTTGCAGGCCGTTCGTCTGGGCTTCTGGTTTCAATCTGGCGGCCCTGCCCAGATTTAGTTTGGCAGTGAAGCCCTGAGAACTAGAGCTCCCGAAATGTTGAAATCTAGCGTGCTCGCACACAGGAAGAATAAAATAGTAGTGTGAACCAACAGACGGTGACCATAGTATGAACAAGGTATCAGCCGGCTACTGCGGCTACGAACAATCAAACCCCGCAACCGAAAATCGTATCAGCGTTGTAGTCTTCCTCTTCAATGCCCGACATGTATATATATATATATATATATGTTATCCTCAAACATGCCTTTGCGTTCGCATGCCTGCGCTGACATACAACCTGAATGTCCGAATGTCTTCGGGCTAGGCCTTGAAAACTTAAGGCGACAGAGGAGTAAGTGGGGTGCACGCAGCCGATGTTTTTTGGAGCCTGGAACTTGAACAATAGGAATTCGGGTCTAGTAGTGGTAAGCAATATACTGTAATATACAGTAGATTACCATACACTTGACTACTATAGTATGCTATCCAGATATTGCCAGGAGTTCGTCAATCCCCCCAATGGCTGTAGCGATAAGCGGGTAAGCTATCCGCAAGTAACGCGTCTTGACACTTGGGCTTTGTGTTCAGGGCTTCAGGATGCTTGAGGCTTTGGGTTTGGGGATTTAGGGTTCAGGTTTAGGAAAAAGTGTTTAGGGTGTTTAAAATTTGGGGTTTGAGGGTTTAGGGCGACTCCCCCCCTGATCAAGCGCTGCGACACAGTTGGAACATCAGTACATGTTCATGTTTTTTTTGAACAGTCAGTGTGACAGTCCTACAGAGAATCCTGGCAAGAATTATCCTAATGCCGTGTCCCACCTGTTGAACCTGTTGGGCGTCGACGGTATGATGACCATGCGGCTGGCAATAGTTTGAGACGAGGCAACCTACCACAACACACCCTCGTAACACACAAAGTAGTTTCCGAAAATAGGGGACCCTAATATAGTACCGTAAATAGTAGGATCCTTTAAATAAGGACCCCCAAAAATAAGGTACTCCCTATTTCGGAAACTCCCACAAGGTTCCGTCAAGGGGCGGAACTCTAGTTCGACTGACCCACCATCCGACGAAAAGCTGCGAGGAGGCCGCTTTTAGGGTTTAGGGGTTTAGGGTTTACGGTTTAGGGTTTTAGGGTTTAGGGTTTAGGGTTTAGGGTTTAGGGTTTTAGGGTTTAGGGTTTAGGGTTTAGGGTTTTAGGGTTTAGGGTTTAGGGTTTAGGGTTTAAGGAACCAAGGGCTCTTTGGGATGAGTGTGTAAGGGTTGTTCGGAAGCCTCCGCTCGAGGTTTCCAATCCTGGGGCTTCGGAATTGCGATATTAGGGTATAGGGTTATAATTATGTAGGGTTCAGCTGCAGAAAGATTTGCAAACGGTTGGGGTCCTGTGGACCCAAACGGTTTGGGTTCTGCGGACCCGAGCTTGAATGTTGGGGCGGGAGGAAGGGAGAGAGGGACAGAGAGGGAGGGAATGACTTAAGGGCGTAGGGCTTACGGTTTAGGGCTTTAGGGCTTAAAGGCTTAATTCGGGGTTTGCTTACTTATTCAGTTATTCAGGCATTCACCTTGTCGGGCATGGGATTTCACCATCTGGATTCAACCCCGAGCCCCAAGTTCTATCACGACAACGATAAAGCTACACAAACCTCCAGCCTAACCCCCCCTCCCCCCACGCCGCAAACCCGAAGCCCCACACCCGAATCCAAATCCTCGGCCTAATCTGGCCATAAGTCCTTAACCCTAGAGCCTCAACTTGCTCAACCCTGAACCCTACACCCTCAACCCTACGCCCTACGCCAGTTCAACTTGCATAGTTTTTCTGCCGACCTTCTAAGCAAGAAAACCCTCCAAAACCCTGAAACCCTAATCTTCACACCGTCGTTGCTACTTCCATCGCCTCTTCTGAAGCTGGCGTGTTTGCCGCTACTTTGGACCCTTGTGTGGGCAGGATACGCTCGCATGGGGCCTTTGGTGGCTCCCAGGGCACTTTTGTTATCATCGCAGAGCCAATGGAAAAGGTGGGAGAATCTCAAGTTTCGATCTTGCGCGGCCTTGCTGCGGTACATTGCATGGGCGATTGCTTGGCCGACTATTGCCTTGACAAAGGGAGCGACGAAGCTCCAGGCATGGAGGTGAGACCCTGTATCATTCGAACGAGCGAGATTTCGCCTGCTTTGCCATTCCTTCTCACGTTGCGAAGGAGTTGGGCATGAGTGCTGGCACACTGGCGAAGAAACTCCCCACCCGGCAACATCAAGGCGCAGGCTTGCGGTTTCGGCGACAGCCTTTACCTTCAGTCCAACATGTTCGACCTTGGGCTTTCAACCCAATGGAGGATAACGCGTGAGTCAGAGTCCTGGCAGCAGAGGGATGAGCGGCGGCGCTGTTCGCCGAATCCACAACACGAACAGTGCAAGCCCAAAACCCCTAGACCCGTAAACTAAACCCCCAATTACCCTCTAATGTCCCCCCAAATACCCGCTATTTGGGGCCATCAGGACTCTACTGCAGGGCCCTTCGGGGGCGTTCCTGTGCAAACTTAAAACCCCATGCCTAAACCCCTAAACCCTAAACCCCTGCACCCCTAACCCCTTAGCCCCAAGCCCCTAAACTTAAACCCCAAAGGCCTCTACAAACTAAGCCACTAAGCCCGCAAACCCCTAAACCCTGAAACCCTTAATCCCTAAACCCTTAAACCCTAAACCCCAAACTCTTTATGGTAGAAGCCCAACAGTTGGAAACCCAATAGCCTCAATCCTTAAGAGTCATGTATAGGGAATACCAGCACTAGTTGGCCTTAATCGGATTTGCAACTTTATGGGCTTTACTGCAAACCCTGAAGCTTAAACCTGAACCCCTAAACCCTTAAACCCTAAACCTTAAACCCTAAACCCCCAAACCCCTAAACCCTAAACCCCTAAACTCTAAACCCCTAAGCCCTAAGCCCCCGCACACTTAGACCCCAAACGCTTCAGCCTTGCCAGGCAGCCCCAGAAGTCCCAAAAAGGGAAGTCCGAGCAGAGTGTCCGCAGGCGCCTTCGGTCTTGGGAATCTCTTAAGGCTTCTAGGGCTTTTGTAATTGCATATACATCATATGTATAATATTTACATATATCATATGTACATGTAAAGTTATGGACATGTATTTGTGCATATGCGCACGTATACATTTTTTTAACAGTTATTGTATCGCGTTTGTGTTGAGATGTTTTCAGACTTTGAGGGCTTGAAATATTCGTATTATTCGTGTTCTTGTGAAGAAGGCGATGTGTATGTGGGGTGTGTATATACATAATGTATATGTTTTCTGTGTTTGTTGCATAGTCTGTTTTGCGGGCCTCGTTTGTGGGCATTTGTGGTGTGCAGGGCCCAAACGTCAAAGTCTTGTGGTCTAGGGCCAAGTCCAGGGCCTGAGGTGCCTGGAGGCCATTGGGATGCCGGCCTGCTCAGTAAAATCGCTAACTGCTTTCATAAGAGCTTACTATGGTAGGTACCTACTCAATGCAGCCCAATATGTTTTTTGGACATGCACTTTTGGTGTTCTGGCTTCACGGCATAGCGAGAGATCAATACAGGTACCGTTGCCAAGTGTTAGCAACCAGGCCTTCGTTTTCGGAGTTGAAGGCCGATGCAGAATACCTAGTCTAGGACCTAGAGTAGGCCCTTATTCTCTTTTTTAGGGTTCAGGTTCCCTTATAAGCCCCTTTAAACCAAAAAGGGCACCCTTTTTATTCCTAGGTTACTCTTGGGTCTAGTAGTCTGCATGGAGTTTACCCGGGCAGAGCAACTCATCTGGCTTGCAGTAGTCTGAACTGGAAATGCTGAAAGCCTGATCCCTGACCATATCATGGCCGTGGCCCCCATTCTCCAACTCTTCCTCTACATTGGCCTAGGTGGAAAGCCACAGTGCCATCACGTTTCTAGGATTATTATAATTAATTTGTGCAGGTCGGTTCTCACACCATCACAGGTGCTTGCTGCAACCATCTTCAACCTGGTGGTTAGACATGTCAAGCAGCCTCGCACCTCATACCGATAAGATATACGCAAACCACTAGTCACTAGTAGAGCAAACTCGCGTACTTGCGCTTTGCAATCCGTCCACTCATAGCCTCACAACGCACAGCATGTTCCCGCTATGAAATAACAAAGTCTTTGTAGATGCTGCTTCTGGTTATTGCGCCCCCTATCCTATACTTGATCCCTATAGTCGTGCTTATAAAGCCGTTGAATTCGAACCGTCTGAAAGGAACCAATCATCCGTTGTGACTACAAGATTTGGAGATGCAGGCACTGCGAGAAACAAGGCCCCCCCGACGGCTCTGCGACAGCACCAGCCAACTCATCCGACGCTTGGTGATGTGGACTTCACTCTGAGACACTTAAAAGCCTATTTTCAAACCCCACGAACCTCTCTTGGCATAGTTTTCGTATCTAGCTGCCTTATAACACAACCCCTGCATGGGTGCCAGCGAGTCGAGTAGCTGAGCTACGGTCACCTTCGACCCGCTGAGTACTGATCGGGATCTAGGCTACCCAAGATCTTGATTGCAAGTTTCGAAAAGTCCTGTATGAGCCCTTGATGTAGGCCCAAAAAACAAGTGCCTTGTTCGAAGGATCCTTGGGCCCTTAGATAAGACATCCCCGTTTCAAGAAACCCCGAACCCTACAAGGACCCATATACCACCTTCTAGACGCCTCGAACTCTGCATGAATCCCCTTAGAGGTCTGCAGCCCAAGCCCACACACGCTGAAACCCTGGGTCCCCTGGTGGTGACTTTTTGTTGGTACCTTCAAACCTACGTGGACCCCGAATAACCTACCGTTTTAGGGTTTTCCCGAATGTGATATCTTTATATAAGTCCTGAAAAGGTAGGTTATTTGGGGTTAACGTAAACCCAGTACCCTAAATCCTAAACTGGACTTCGCTGCCAGCCAAAGCTGGTTCTTGCGATTGGGGGTTCATTTCGGGATTAGGGTTTAGGGTTTCAGGCTGGTGAGGAACAGAGCCGCTTTCTGCTAGGCTTCAGGGAAGTTTAGGCTTTAGGACGTTTTAGGACCCCGGAAGCCCTTCACGGGCGAAGTAGCAGCCTTGCGATAGAGGACTTCTTTACGATGTTGTAGCTTACTCCTCAGGTTCGAAAGGCTGCCGGAGTCTACCCAGTCCTAAACCCTCTTGCATAGCTAGGGTAGAAGATGCGCCACCACCTTCGAATTGCATCGGCCGCCTTGTTGTGGTGGTAAGGTTCCGTCATGTTGCGTAGGTCCGGCAGCACAAGGCATCGCGTAGAAGCATGCTATAGAGTTACCACCTCAGCCACACATTTAACGGATTCATGGTTTCACCGTCGAAACGGTACCTTTTGAGGACCCTTCAGGGAATGGGTTCAGGTAGGATTTTGAAAACTCAAGTTGAACACTGTCGCAAAGCCAGAGCACAATCCAGAGATTCCGATATCCCTCAATTAAGTAGGAATATTCCTTAAATCATGATAGGCACGCTAGTATAATTTATGGTTTCTCTTCATTAAGGGATATTGGAGTCTCTGGGACCGCAAAGCACACCGACCCTGAACCCTCAACCCTCATCCCTAAGCCATAGCACACCGCAAAAGCCGAGGGAAGCGAGAACGGGGAAGGTGTTCGCATCTCTTGGCTCCGTCTTTCACGACGAAGGGAGGCTCCTGGTTGACGGGGTCTGTCTTCCACGGTTTAGAGTTTAGGGCTTATGGCTGAGGAGACTTAGCAAGTAGATTGTCATTCTCCGTACATATGTATTGTGATGAGTCTGCGAACCCTAATCAGCTTTGATCCTTGCCTGTCCTGAACGAGCGAGGGCGTCGAAACCCTGAATTTAACAACTGGCAGGTGTCAGCCTTGCAGATTCGTATCACTACCGGACGGCTGCCGGAACGGCGCCGAATGCAGCTTGCCCGTTTGTCTGGCTGCGGGCTAATCCTTGGATGCTCTGAGACGCCGAACTAGCCCTGAACACGAAATCTTCAAGGCCCCAAATTCGAAAATCGCGAAACCCTACCTTAACCCCAAATAACCTACCTTTTTGAGGACTTATATAAAAAAGCCATAATAGGAAACCCCAAAAAGGTAGGCTCTTCAGGGTCTAGGTGAATTCTAATCCCTAATCTTCTTAACCGAGAGTCCTCGTCTGGCAGAGTCCGAGTTGCGAGAGTGTAAGCCCGCATGGGAGTTTCCGAAAATTCGGGGTACCTTACCTTGGGGTCCTTAGAATAAGGATCCTACGATTTAGGGTACTATATTTGGGTCCCCTGTTTTCGGAAACGCCCAAATCCTTGCCCACTTAACCGCTGAAATCCTGGACTTGACCCGGAAAGCTTCGGAGAGTTGTTGGCCACCTCTCCGAGAACCATGGCGACAGGAACTCAGAATCCTAGAACCTCCCGAACCTCGCCTGGCATGTCCGAGTCGTGAGAGCGTAAATCGGGAGGTGTTAGGGTTTTGCGTGGGATCTTGGTGCATCATACTATTCTAATTTCAAACGGGAAAAGGAGGGACCCTTAATAAGGACCCCTAGGTATATACCCATAATATAGCTATTATATCCCCATTATATAGCCCATTATAGGGTAGGGGTCCCCATTAAGGGTCCCTCCTCTTCCCCTCTGATATTCTAATTCTTCGTGCCCCCATTCCACTGAGCCTTACATCCGAAACATTCCGAAACTGGGCACCGAAAGTTCCAAGCACTCTCACCGCGAAGTCTGCCTTCGATTCTTGTTACTTCGGCTCAGCTCGCGAACAGTTGTAGGTGCTTTTGATTTAGGACTGAGGCATTCGGGGTTTCAAGATGTTGGATTCTGTTTACTCGTGATGCTCATCCTGGAGTAGTGATAGAGTTTTAGACAGAGATCTGACTAAACGGGTGGCCTGTGGATGCATTGCCTTGGTTGTTGTTGGCGGTATTCGGGTGTGTACTTCGTCTTTGAGGCCTCAACCCCACACCCTAAGTCTTGCTGTCGTGACGGTAGTGACCCAGCCTAGGCCCTAAGTAGTGTTCAAAGGTGTTGCCTTCTAGGAAACCATGTGGCGGCATGTAAAAGCAAGACAGAATCGTGACAATCATGTTTAGCAGTGAAATCGTCGTAACAACAACAGCTTTAACAGCTATCATAATGGGCATCTCTGTCATCATCCTCATCCTCACGCTCATCCTCATCCGCACCATCAGCAGCATCATTAACATCATCAGCATCACCTATGGCGAGCTTCACCAGCCAAGTCACCATCACCAATGTCTGCAGCAGCATCACCAGCACAAATATCTTCGTCAACATCATCACCATCGTCCCCATGCGTGCAGCAGAAGCCTCAGATGCGTGTGTCGGGACCATAAGTTTAATTTCAGGGCCCTTGCAGAGCCCTTGGATGCTCAGGGCTGACGGAATGTGGGCTGAAGTTCCGCGATGCTGTAGCGGGACACACTACTTGAAGAATCATGGGACTTAGTAACTGGGGTTATAATTGGGGTAACTATTTTACTAGGTCCCATGATCCTTTAAGTAGCCAAAAAACTCAAAGCTCTCGCTGTCTCTTGTGCCGAATATGTAGTTGACATTGCCAAACACATCCTCCCAACCCGGTGCATTTGCACGACAGGACTGAAACCCCGAGCCGACGAACTTGTGGGTAGAATCTTCCCAGCTGCAATGTTTCGCGTTGTGGTTGTAGTTTTTGGGTCCCATGCATCTGCTACCACAAAGGGCATTCATAATCTGCACCCACGCGCACACACACACACACACACACACACACACACACACCACACCCTACATCATCAGAGGCACCTTTTGCCACAACGAGTCGCACGAGACGGACCCAAACAGCGCGCACCGTCCTCCCAAGGGTGTTCGTTCAGGCTGGGAGAGCGGCCGGACAAGTTAGGGTTTAGCGTTTAGGGGATTTAGGGGTGCAGGGTTTAGGGTTTAGGGTTTAGGCACGAGTGTGATTGTGATTTGGAAGTTGCCAGGTGGCGTCAGCCTTAAATCGGATGTAGAGGCCTGAACACGTACCAGTAGTCTCGCTCTACAAGACCTTCCTGCATCCCTGGTAGAAGTGCTTGAACACCTTCGACTCGGTATTATTTGTCCGCAGTCCTTCCCGTGAGAGCCTTAGGGACCTCGAGACCTGTCCCCACCGACTCCATCGACGGGCTTTAACCCGCAGACCCTGGACGCTGAACCCCGGCATGCCCGGCTTAGGGTATCGCTTCTTTTGCCTGACTCTCTGACGTGTTGGAGCAATTGGGCTTTGGTGTTGCTGTAAAAGACACCTGACGATCCTGAGGCCTGCAGTTTCTGTAGCTCAGGTGCGATCCGTGATTCGGAGGTATGGAGCCCCCTACCCATAGGCTCCATGGTAGTTCCCTTTATGGGATTGCCTTATAGGCTTCTAAATATGAACCCCAAAAAGAAACTATGGATCCGCTCAACCCGGGATCTTCCGAGTGCGAGCGCCGAAACTCTAAACCATGGGGCTCTGCCGGCCCGTGTCTCCTGGCACATGGGTGGTTGGGTATATAGGGGTTATATAAGGACTATACTACCCAAAAAAGGTCAAAGGTTACCTACTCTACTACTAGGTTTGTAACATGGGTGCTTGTCAAAATTACGGTCCCTTTTGGGGCCCCTAATATAGTACGGCACCTAATATTCAGGGTACCCAGAAAGGGACCATAATTTTGACAACCACTCACATGAACCTCACGACAGCACGCAACAGCCCTAGACCCTCTCAAGTCGACACCCTGAAACGATTGTAAAACTCCCTCAAAACCCGAATTGAGTGCTTAATATAGGGGCCTTAATAACTACCTATACTACTTTGAGGGTTCCTTCTCATAATTACAGTAGAACGCGCCCCAAAAGCCTATTCCACTTATTAAGGCCCTTGTATTACCTGAGCCCTCAAACTCTGAACCGTACACCCACGCCCGGCGCGAGGCTATAAGAAGTCCGTGAATCAAGCAGCTCGGGGGAAAGTTAATGCGTTTAGGGTTCCTTGGAGGATGCTGTGAAGGGTTCTACTTCAAGGTTCCTTGAAGATTGGGTCTTGGACTTTCGGTTTCCTATAGTGAACCCGAACCCTATGAGGGCTGAGGTTGTGATTCGATGCTTGGGATTTTCGGCAAGCTCCTTGCTCACTCCCGGTTGGGAGGTTTGACTTCTTTCACCGCTCATGAGGGTTTAGCATCTTTAGGGGGTCTGGGTTTGCCTAGATCCTGAAGAACCTACGTTTTTTGAGGTTCCCTATTATGGTTTCCTTATAAAAGTCCTTAAAAAGGTAGGTTATTTGGGGTTAAGGTAGGGCATAAGGCAATGCGTACTGCAGCTCTTCGACTTCCTCAACAAAGTGGTTTTGGATTAAATTTGCCGACCCTTGCAGCATGACCTACGCATCTTACCACCTCGGGCCGTTTGATTCTGGGCCCTCCGAGGTCATGGAATCAGACCTTCCTGACGAGCAGAAGAGGGAAGCTTTGAAAAGGCCGCCGGCTACCTGGGCCCTTCTCTTCGCCCCCACCCCTCCAAAGCACCCCTAAACCTGGGACCGGCTATAGCTCATAGCTCATACGGGTAGTACTCCGAATTAGGGTCCCCCTTTTTGAGGACTCAGAAGACAGCGGCGCCCTTATACAAAGGACCCTACTTGGATAGTGAATCGGGGGAACTTTAAGCTTTTTGGCCTTACCTTGTAGCTCTCCTTTAGAAAGTTTGATTTTTTTAGGGGCCCGGCTGTTGAAGAAGAGAGCCTAAGAGGGACCCAAACTTCGAGAACTGCGCTCTCAGCACCCAGAGCCAAGCTCGAACCGAGGCCTTGGGCTCGGAGCCTTAGTGACTTCCTGCATCCCCTGTGGTAAGGTAGGAACCTGATTCAGAAACCCTGGCCCCTTGAACCCCAATATACTCAGAACCCTAATAAGGACCCAAGGTTTCTTAATCAGGTTCCTACATTAGCAAACTTCGATGCAAACGGTTCTGGGGTTTATAAAGGGTTTAGGGTGCCGGTGCTGTCGGAACACGAAGACGCTTGTACCCTTGCACAGTTGTTTGCTATCGCAGACCTACATTGACCTACATAGACTACATAGCCAAGCCTTCTACGATCCCCAGCTGCTAGACGGGAACACTTTAATCAGAATTGATCCCGCTGAAGCACCTGACAACAATAACCCGTAGTTAACCTCAGTTAACCTCAGTGAAATCACTGTACACATGAAATTGTATATGCAGTAAACGCATGGATTGAAACCTGACCCTGGATAAGGCTTGGGGTTTGGGGGTTTATTTAAGATAAGCCGCCCTTCAACGTTTTCCCCAAATAACCGCTAAACCATTGTGTGCGAATGGCAATCTTCTGCATCCCAAACCCTAGGCCTTAATTTCTAAAACCATAAAGCATAAGCCCCTAAATGCTTGAACTCTAAAGCACTCTATGGTAGAACCTTTTCCGATCCATTTAAAGACTTTAGAGCAACATGTTGCTCTAGAGCAACCCTCAACCCGAAAAGTGCTAAGCCCAAGCAGCAAGCAGCAGGCTGGCCACAAAGAGTCCCTATCTACGGGCCCTGGCTACCCGGCCGATGATGTGGGTGGAGCATTAAAGTAAAAGCCAGACAGTTGGAATATGATTATCAATGATTATCCTAAACCCTTAATGGTAAATTATAAGGTATCCTATCCTGAAACCATATTCCAACTTTCTGGAGTTCCCTTTAGGGTTCAAGGCAAGGAGCTCTTGAGCTTAGGTTGGTGCCCAGTTTAGGGTTTAGGGTCTAGGGTCGGGGCCTCGGTTCCTGGCATATGCGCAGTCCAGGTGTACAAGGGTTTAGGGTTTTAGGGTTTAGGGCGAAAGTCTATTATATTAGGGGTGTCTAGGAGTCATATTAAGGACTACATGTAGTTATGTTGCTGTTACAAGTGTAGGCAGTACCCGAGGCTTCGGGCTTCTAGGGTTGAGAGTTGGGTTTTTGGCTTTCAGCCTGGCGGATGCAGGTTTAGGGTTTAGGGTTTAGGGTTTAGGCCTGGATAAAAGGAACGGTTTTGGTGGTTTTGGCCTTGGGGGCTTTAGGGCTTCTTGGGTTGACTTTAACCCCAAATCAGCAAGATTTGTTTACAGGACTTCTATAAAGAAATCATGTTAGGGAACCCTCAAGAGGTAGGGTTTCTGGAGCCCAGGTAGGGTAAAAAGGTATTTGGCCTTTGGGTTTTTGGTTTTTTCGGCTGCCGTAGGGCTTTGGGGCTCTTGAGCCTAGAGCTGTTTGGGGGTAGTGGGTGTTCTGGGGTTTAGGGCTTTGGATTTTGGGTTTAGGGGTTTGGGTTTTTTTGGGTTCTGGGTTTAGACTGGTGGGTGTTCTGGGGTTCTCTTTCAAGGAGGCGGTGGGTATCCCGTCGGACATGGTGATTGATAGCATTTCAAGCCCTCGTACCGGATTTCAGGAACAGGTTTCAAAGGGACCAGAAATCCCTGACCCCCAAACAGCCAAATCCTAAACCCTGAACCACCTAACTCAAAGCACGGGAACTCGAGGCCTCCTTTTAAGACTCGGAAAGCCACCCCAAAGACCCCAAATCTGTGTATAGAACCTCCGAAACCAAAAACAAGAACCAACCTACACCCCGAAACCCCTGAAGCCCTAAACCCTGAAACCCTAATAGTGAAGTTTCACTCGTCAGACTCCGAGGCATATGCCTCGCCTGGATTGTCCGAGTGTGAGCGCCCCTAACCTCTAAACCCCCAAACCCCTAAACCCTAACCTCTGAACCCTAAACCCCAAACCCTGAAACCCTAAACACTCTCAGACCCTAGGTATACACCCTTAATATAGCCATTATATACCCATTATATAGCCCATGAAAGGGTCCCAGGAGGGGTCCCCATTAAGGGTCCATTTTTTTCCCCTTTGATCAAAGGTGAGGAAACTCCTAAAGCCCTAAACTCTAAACCCTAAAACCCCAAACCCTAATCTCCGACCTCAAAGGTGAGGAAAGCCTTGCCGGACCTCGTGTGCGACTCTGACCGAGAGGAACCGGAGCAAGACAAGGGCAGGCCGATCGACCGGAGAGTTTTAGCGATTGGGGTTTTAGGAATCAAGGGGTTTAGGGCTCCTTTAAAGGGGTCCATAAGGGTTTTGGGGTTTAGGGTTCGGGGTTGGGTTCAGAGTTTAGGGTTTGGTGTTCGGGGTTTAGGGTTTACGGTGATTTAGGTTTAGGGTTTACGGTGATTTAGGTTTTGGGTTTAGGGTTTACGGTGATTTAGGTTTAGGGTTTACGGTGGTTTAGGTTTAGGGTTTAGGGTCTACGGTGATTTAGGTTTAGGGTTTATGGCAGAATTCTCACGTCCTGGTGCTGCAAGACATCGATCAAATGGCACCGAGCCCTACTGGAACCGTCGCAGAGCAGTTTAAGCTAATACAACCCTAAACCTTAAATCGCACAGCCACGGGTCGTGAAACCTATAAACCGGGTACTCAGCCCCTAAGCTACTATTCCCGACGAGCGAAGGGCCCGGAGAAAGCCCGGAGTTTCCTTCTCCTCTGTTTGCTGTGTGCCCGAGACTGCAGATAATGGAGGGGCCTTGGTGTTTACCTACACTTTTTCGGGGGGCTCCTGATTATAACTGTGGTATAACGCGCCCCCAAACCCTAGTTTGTTTATCAAGGACCCTCTATTAGTCGAACATCGAGATAATGTAGGAACCTGATTAAGAAACCCTGGGCCTATAACCCCAAAATAGTAAGGTTCATACAACAAACCCTAATAATAAAGGCCCAAGGTTTCTTAATCAGGTTCCTGCATTACCCAAGGATTTCGGGTTCAGGAGGTCACCGTTGGGTAGCTTAGGGCTGAAACAATGAAATTCATGCATTCATTGGCGACAAAATATGGGAACACATCGAGGAAACCGGGGGTCCTTAAACTCCGAGAATCGATAACTGCTTGCGAACCCTATAAACCCTACCCCCGCAGGAACTCAAGTGACTTGCTCAGCACAACACCCTCTCTACCTTTGCAGAAACTCAAGAAGCTGTGCAAAAAAAAACTGCTAAGCCTTGAGAAACCTTAGCCACAACCCTAAACAAAACTATAAGACTGTATAGAGCCTTGTCAACCCTTTAGAACCCTATAAAACCCCATAAAGCCTTACAGATGCCCTGCAGCACACCTTCAGGCCGACCTCGAGCATGTCTCAGGGGGGTGGAGGGCCAAGGTTGCCGGGGCGACTTGGAATGCAGTCCAAGGGTTCAGTTAGGGTTTAGGGGTTTAGGGTTTAGGGTTTGGGGGTTTAGGGGTTTAGGGTTTAGGGGTTTAGGGTTCAGAGTTTCTAGGGGAGAGGTTCCGAGTTTCAAAGGGAACTCCAGAAAGTTGGAATATGGTTTCATGGTAGGATACCTTATAATTGACCATAAAGGGTTTAGGATAATCAGATTCCAACTTTCTGGCTTGTACTTTAGGGGAGAGAGAGAGACAGAGAGAGAGAGAGAGAGCGAGACAGAGAGAGAGAGAGAGAGAGACAGAGAGAGAGAGAGAGAGGGTTTAGTTTCGGGATGTCTAGGGTTTCTGGCTGACACTCAGAGCCCAGTTGCAAAAGCTTTTGCAGGGTTTAGAGCGTTTAGGTTTTAGAGTGTTAGGTCGAATTTGGGTGTTCGGGGTCTAGGGTTTGGGCAGATCGAGAGAGAATGGTCTAGGGCGCAGGGCCCTAATTCCCGTGATAAACGGCTCGGAATAGGTGGTTGTAGTAGCAAGGCGAGTTCCGATGGTTCTGATGTAAAGGAAATACCTGGGTGTGTCCGTCGCGCGACCGTCGTCTATCCGTCATAGACCCGACGTTGAAGCGGGCGTTGCAAAGTTGAGAAGAACACAATGCAGGCATAAACCAACCTTTCGAGAAGCCTCATCCGCGTCATAGTTGCTGCAATTGTCGTCTCATCCTGACCCAATCACTGCATCGGACGCTTTGTGTGCTACGCTTGAAACCGAAATCCCATAATAAGGCAACCAATTGGTAAACCATAAACTCTAAACCCTAAACCCTAAACCCAAATCAAGAGCCCAAAGCCCCGAGCTATTTACATCCGAGGCTGCAGCCCACAAGGACCAAGCTCTCCCTCTGAGCCCATGTGCCGCAGCCTGACGCGGCTCAGTCGCTGAGATTGGTTTAGGGTTTAGGGGTAAGTTAAGGGTATGGGGATGTCCTATGTCAAGCCTAGACAACCTACATTTTAGCGCTTATCGCTTAGTTTTGTTTCCGCGCTTCATGTCATGTGGTGGATAATAAACCAGCTCAGAAGGGAAGGGACTTGTTTGACGTAGAGAGGGCTTAGTGTTTACTGAATTTCTTCAGCTATCGGGATAGACGGGGTTGGATTCAAAGTTTTGGCGTGTACAGCGCGGGTCCTTCTTTAAGAACCAAGTCCTTATTGGTTATTCACCTATGTAGCAATACCTTGAACTACCACGACTTACTCGTACTTTTTTGTAGGGTCCGTATAAGTTCTGCATTGGGCGTCTATTCATAAAACCTACGAAAAGTAGGTTATGGAAGTTTAAAATAGGAATCAGGTTGGGCCTATGAAATAAGCGCTCAAACTGTCGAGTGTTAGACATGTTGAGTTCAGGATTCAGGGTGCGCTATCATTGTTTCGGTTTAGGTTCTCTGTATAGGGTTGGTAGCTCCAAAATCTGTACCATACACCCATGAACCTCATAATCTTAAATCTTCTAAACCCGAAACCCTATACCCATAGCCTTCGCAATCTTTTCAGAGACTCCAATATCACTTGATTAAGGAACATTATCAGATCTTATTAGGGATTGGTCATACTATAATTTTAGGGGTTATTCCTTCATTAAGAGATATTGGAGTGGGTTAAAGGGTGATGAGAGGCATCATAGGGGTGAAGGCGCGATGCTGCAGGAACCGAGCGAGTAAGCCACATGGGTGGTTGTCAAAATTATCGTCTCGTTTTGGGTCCCTATCATAATGCGGCACCTATTATTTAGGTACGCCGAAAGGGACCTTAATGTTGACAACTAGCCACATATGCCCCTCATGCGCTGGAACCCGTAAGGCAGGTTTAGTGCCTCCAGGCTGGGCGGTTTAGGGCTTAGGCTTTAGGTTGCGGTTGGTTTAGGGGTTAGGGTTTAGAGCCACCTTTTTTTGTATTCTAATATAGCTTATCTATTTTACTAGATTATTTGTTTAGGGTATTTTTACTAGCTTTTATCAGTTTTTGTTTTGTCAGAAAGGGGTTCTGCTCGTGTGGGATCACGGTGTGGGGTTCGGGATTGAGGGTTTCGGCGTCTGGGTGTGGGATGGACGACTTAAAGAGAGTCACCGGAGAGATCCTCAGTCGAGTTTTCTGTTCATCTTCCAGCTGCAAGGTCTTATCATCTTGGGCATTCTTCAGCCATCCTGCATTGCAATGGCAGTATATAGTGGTCCTTACTGTGAGCATTGCGTGCTGCACTGTGAAAACCATTGAAAACCATGTTCGTGAACTTGAGGCTCGAGATTGCGGCCCGGCAGGAATTTCCCGATTCAATCTGTTTTCTGCAAGCCAAGAAGCATCCTTTGTTTTTTCTGGACTTTGGCTTTGGGCCTTCATCATGAACACCCGAAATAGCCTGGAACAACTAGAAAACCCTAAACTCCTCAACCCCGTGAGCGCCGAAACCCTGAGAGAGACCAGCCTAGCTTGAGGCTCTGCACCTCCATCCTCACGGGGATTTCACGGAATCTTGCTTCCGTACGAGCCTGCCCGGACCGAAAGATAGCGAGTTTCAAGCCAGGGCTTGGCTGCCCAACACCTCGAACCCGAAGGCGTTTAAAGTTTGAACTTTGGGCGCAGCAATGAGCACAAGTAGCGTTTCAAGTGCCTTAGTTGGCTTGGAACTTGGAACTCTTAAGAACATCACTTGTGCCCACAACACCCTACCAGATCATGTTGTGGCACGCTGTGGCTTTCTTGGCACCTGACTCTAGGGGTCTTGGATTTCAGCTTTAGGTCCTGCAGCCGGGCTTGACGTTTCGAATGCCTGGGAGAGAGAACGAGAGAGAGAGAGAGAGAGAGAGAGAGAGTGAGAGAGGGTTTAAGCCTGAGGTCCTTCTTGGAGTTTCAAGAAAGGTCTTTGAAAGCCCTCTTAGTGCTGAACCGCTTTGTCGATAGTAGGCTTTAGATTGCATCACACATGGGTTTGGAATAATTCGAAGTAAAGATGATGTTACTGTACCAGAGTACCATTCTAATCATCAGGGCACCCCCTTGACTGGACGCTTGTGCCTCGTTTGGTTGCCGAGCAAGGGCTCAAAGCTTGTGTGTACCGGACCCACTCCCAGCACCCCACAGGTCCGCCGGTGATGTTGATCATGGCGATAACGATGACGATGGTGAGTATAGACGACGGCGTACTCGCCTAATTACGACTTCTGCTTTTCCATCGCACCTACACGAGTGCAACAACGACAACAACAACTACAGTACTACTACTGCTGCTGCTGCTGCTACTACTACTACTACTACTACTACCACGACTACGACTACTACTACTACTACTACTACTACTACTACTACTACTACTACTACTACGACGCCTGCTGCTGGCAAACGGTGTCAAAGATTATCGCAGTACGCAGGCCAAGGTTTCACTAGTCACGACGTTAGCCACAAGAAAGACTTTTTCCCAGGACCCAGAGTAAGCCCTTATTCCCTTGTTTGGGGTTCAGGCTCCCTCATATTATTCCTAGGCTACTCTTAGGTCGAGTTTTGTAGTTCCAGGAGATGGTCTTGTTGAGCACAGCGCAGCAAATCGCTGAATGTTACCTCAACAGAACCCTATTCTGTGCAACTCCGGGCTCGCTCGACGGAGAAGGCAGATAGCGTTTCACCGCGCCAAGTTTCACTCATCGTCTTGGCAGCTCCAGCATACTCGCTTAAAACCCTAAACCATCAACCGTGCCTGGCTGTGTCCGAGTTGTGAGAGCGTAAACCATCAACCGTTTTATGTAAGCTCAGACGGTTGGGCAGACATACAGAAAGCTCCAAAAGAAAAGACCTAGCATGTAATCCCTAGGATGCCCAGTAGTACCCTTATTCCTTTTTTTGTAGTGCTAGGTTCCTTATAAAGTTACCCAATACCAAAAAGAGAGGCCTTTTTATTCTTAGGTTACTGGGTATCCTAGATCCTGTCCAGTCCGAGATGTCCGAGCTTTGAAATTACTCTCAGGCGAGAAGGCCTGTGCCTCTCAGCTCTCAGAGCATTTGGGGCTTTCGGATTAGGGCTCTAAGACTCAGATGTTTAGAGGCTTTTTTGTTTTAGGTGTAGGGCTTATGGTTTAGGATTTAGGGTTTAGGGTTTAGGGTGTAGGGCTTATGGTTTTGGGATTTTGTGTTTAAGGCTACAGGGTTTTGGGGGGGGTTTAAAGGGGTTGGGTTCGGGGTTCACGCGTCAGGTTCAAAAGGTGGCTGGGGCTCTGGGCCCGCAGGGTTTCTCATAGGGACCCTTAGTGGGGTAAGGGGTAGGGTTTAGGGTTTAGGGTTTAGGGTTTAGGGTTTAGGGTTAGGGGCATATACTTCCGTAAACAGGCCATATACTTCCGTAAACAGGCCTTACTAGGTCCTTATTATGGGCATGAAGGCCCCCTACCCCCCCTTCCCCTACCCCCGTAAGGGTCCGTATGGTTGGGGGTTTAGGGGTTTAGGGTTTACCACGGTCTGGCAGGGTTGGGGTTTGGGGGTTTAAGGCTTCCGGTGGTGTGGCAGGGTTGGGGGGTTTGGGGTTCACCTAAGGCATTGGGAATTAGGTGGGGTTTCGGGTTTAGGGTCTTAAGCCGCAAGACAGGTCAATAGTCAGTAAGTACCTGTAAGTACGAGTACGCCCTTATAGTGCCTACCGTATAGGCTGAAAGTATACAATCACACTGTCTCATAGGTTTCCCTCAACGCTAAACCCCTTAACCTCTCCTGGTTTGTCCGAGTGCAAGCGCCAAAACCCAAAACTCTTCCCGTCTCTTCGGTGTTATAGGGCCCTAGGAACGGTCCGGGTTAGTGGAGCTCTTGGACTTTCGGTTTAAGGGTGTCTAACGTAGGAACCTGATTAAGAAGCCTTGGGCCTTCATTGGGGTTCGTTTTATGGTTTCTACTATGTGGGGTTATAGGCCCAGGGTTTCTTAATCAGGTTCCTACATTACAACTTCAAGATGTATTGGGCTCAAGGAACTCTACCCTAAACCCTCAACCCTACTCCGTGGACCCCTTTGCTCTACTTTGGAAAGCACGAGAGAGCGAAAGAGGTTCGGCCAGGTGCTCTTAGTGTCTACCTGCGCCGGCACGATCGTCGAACAGTACAGCGTTTAGGATACTTGCATTGTTACAAGTAAAATCATGATTTGTTGTTATCATGTTCATTGCTTGTTGTGGCCGGCATTGTTACTAGCGATGTCATTGTTATGGTCGTTGCCGGTATAACTAAATCATCGTAGTGACTGCTGTAAACATTTATAACTAACATGGTTGGTATTTTATAACTAAGACTAGTACTCTATTTAAATTTCGGGCTTAGGGTGTGGGTTAGAGTACCTAGGGTCTGGGGTTGCCGTTCAGCACGCCCCGAAGTATGGCTGATGTAGAGTCTATGTTTTGGTTCAGTCATCGGTATACAAAAATACATGCATATGTGTATATTTACCGATTTATACACATTTACACACATGTATAGGCAGAGATATATATATATATATATATATATAGGGTCTCGGATCGAGGTTAGGCAAGGACCTAACCATTGCCGGCAGGCCCCAGTGCCGCAGGTTAGGCACGCATCGCAGCCATCGCCCTACGTCGGCGGTCTCCGACTTGGCACCGGCGCAAGCGCAAGGTCCGGTCTGCTGCTCGAGACAAAGTGCGACAAGCACGTCTGGCGGGCAGAATCCCCGCACAGAGACACCTCAGGCTCCTGGAGGCACACCACTCGGTGCCTGTCTACAGGGAGACCAAACGCCACTTCCCCACGGCCTACATGGGAAAACGAGGGTCATGGCATGGCCAAGATTGGCACGACTCCTCATCCTACTATGGATACGATGTCAACAAGGACACCCGAGGATCCAAAGGCCGTGGCAAGGGCAAGGACAAAGAGGACAAGCGGAACCGGGACACACATGCCTTCCCCTCGTACGAAGTGATGCCCTACAACCCCGGTGGCAGAGCGAATGGGCCACGACCGAGTACAGATGTTGCTGGCCCCTCTACGGCAAGTGCCAGCACCATGATGGCCCGACCACTCCAGAAGGTGGTCAGCAACCTCCGTCGATGCGAGACAAGGCTGAGGCGTATCGACGAGGAGTACTCGGAGGCCACGGCGAAGTGGGATGCGTGGCAGCAGCAGATGAAGAAGAGCTTCATCCAAGAAAGGGCGCGATACTACGAGGCGATCGGCAAGCTGAAGGCGGAAAAGCAGGAGATGGAAGAAGCCCAGGAGGCGGCGTTGGAGGACATCCAGAATGCCATCCTCAACCCTCAGTCTGGGCCAATGGAAGAGGACAACACCCTGCCGGAGGACGCCCAGCAGGAATGGGATGCCTTCCTAAAGGACGCAGACAGCACCGAGGACGTGTCTACCCGCCTCAACAATGTCTTGGGCAAGTCCAAAAGAGGCAACTCAACACGCCAAGAGCTGCTGGAGATCCTGGCCACCCACAGAACACGACGACAGACCAGCAAGGCCGAGGAAACCACGACTCCGGTTCGCCGCGAGAGGACTGCAGCACCGCTCACCCCACCTCGACCAGCGCGTGCCAATGCCGGAGCCGAGCCCACCATCGAGGAGACCGAGGCCTGGTTAGCAGCTGCGGCGAACAAGGGACCATATGTGGCCTCCCCTTCCACCAATGGCAGGATCCCTCCACCATCTTCAGAGAGGACCTCCTCCAGGCCAAGGCATACCGCGCCACGTGCCCCTCTCAAGGTCCGAACGAAGCCTCTGGCGGACCTGGGACATGGACCCACCCTTGGAGAGAAGCTCGAGCAATCCCGCGAAAAGGCCCTCCATGCGGAAACCATCCCGGACTCCGAGGACGAGATGCTGGATGGCCTCCACGGCAAGAGCGACCTCCAGGAAGAGGCCCCCCCAGGACAAGACGGGGAGTAGTTCTCAGCCTCCCCTCCAGCACTCTCGTGCAGACGTATGATGTCGGGACAAGGAGGCTTCTTCGGCCCGTCCTCCTTATGTCCCACCCGCGCAAAATGCAGAGCTTTGGGAAGCTTCTGCCAATCCTCTACGGCGACTTTTTCGGTTCGTTCGCCACTCTCCAACGAGTGCACCTACCATTGGCACCACGGAGTACATTTTGGCCACACTCTTCATGGACCTTTTCCGCTACCCCGAGAACATCCTTTGTTTGCTTTGACATCTTTGATGTTTTCGAGCAGGGCGTCCTCCACCTCAGTCACGGCCTGACTCCTCTCCTCTCTTGGCTCAGTGTTCCATGTAAAGCTGCAGGGCTCGCACTGTGCTTCAATGTTTTCCTCGTGTTGGCCGGTGTCCTCGCTGCACATGTTCGCTGGCAGAGACCTTTTGCCTCCCGTCATGCACGGCGGCTCCACGGAACCAGCAATACTTGGACGAGGCTTTTGCTCATCCTTGGCACGATCACACGGACTGGGGCGGCACCCCACGATGTGACAGCGAGAACATACAACAGCGAGCCCTCGAGCTGGAGACGGCCTGGTGCCCTCGACCTATGGAGGGACGGACTTATGACACCCTTCGAGACCCTCCTCCAGGCCGAACAGTCGCACCTACTGTCTGCCCCTTTGCACAGTATGGGCGAAATCCCCACCAGAGCCCATGCCGCGGGCCCAACACACATGCCTCGGCCACCGCCAGAGCCACCAGATACCCCTGACGAAGGCAACACCGATCAGAACTTCTTCGTGGACCTCGCGGAGACCTTCCACATCTCATGCTGGATCTGCTCCCCCGGTTTTGAACCCTGCTCCATTGACATTGCGGTACACTTCCCGCAAACCCTCGATCGGCTGGGGGACATTGTCAAGGAGACGATCGATGGACTGAGCCCCTCCTGGCTCGAGCACCTTTACCCGATCGCTCCTCAGGTCGACGAGTTCTTTGGGAGCTTTGTTATAGTTCCGGATTGGGTTCCTTCCTCTACAACCACAGTCCTGCCAGGATTATTGAAAGGCCCCTCTTTGCCTTCTACTTGTCCGTTCCGGCGACCCGCTTCAATATCCTCGCTCAGCTTGGCTTCCAGCCGGAAGACCCCTACGACATCTACATTGGAGGCTCTACTGAACCACTCATTGGGAGCTCCAGCCTGTCCCCACCACAAGGCAGCCTGGTCAAGATCATCCCAAGAGGTGACACAATTGAGTGGGTGGACCACCTCACAGATCGTCTCGCAGACCCTCTGCTGTGGGACCCGGACGACCGACATCCGGATACCCTGCCGGGCCGATACATCGAGCTCCAAACCAGAGGGCAGACCAAACTCCATAGAGTCGGACCGGATGACCGCCGACCTCCGGATGCTGTGGCGTCACAGGCCTTTGGCCTCCCTCGAGACCAATTTTGGGTCAGAGCCCCGACCCATCGACCCCTCGGCATGTACAACAAAGGATACCACATCCACTCCGTCGTGGCCGTTGTTGACCAGGCACTCTTCCCTGCGGAGCACTACTGCGTCGTCTTCCTCGACCTCCGGCCGATCGGAAGATGGGTCCTTTGGGAAGTTGCCCGTGATGGAGACTTCGACGTCGGAGCCTTTATTGAATCCTTACAGATCGAGGCTGTAGAGGGCTATGCCGTTGTTGTCCATGGTGATATACAACGAGGTCGACGGAATGTTGTACAAGTCAACGATGGAGAGGTCCTCGAGGTAGCGCTCGTTCCGACCGCCTCGCTCTCCACATCCTCGACATCGCCTACTAGCACCGGCCACTCTGACAATGACGAAGGCGATGGAGACACTGAATCAGGCAATGGGGGACCTGACTCCTCTGATTTGTCTCCCACGGGGCCTCCAACCGGGCCGGGTCCTTTCGGACCACCACGGCCCAGCCCTGTCAACCGTCCGCGGAGCCGAAGCCCACGAGGTCCAGAGCATGCTGCTCCCGAACACCCCCGTGAGGAAGGTCAAGTGTCGACGACTGCAACACCGGCCCCCTCCTCTGAAGGAGATGGGGCTCGTCTACTACATCTGGCCAACTACCTGGAGCCACCGACCTTCAGCCTGGAAGCCCACACCGTGCCTCTGCCACATGTGCCGACTCTCGCCGCGACCTTCACGGAGCCGTGGCCTTTGGAATGGTTACACTACGACCTCGTAGACATTGATCTGCCGGAGGTCACCAGCGAGGCCTTGATCTCTATGGCCACCTGGGCGGACCTCATCCTTGATGTTGTGAAGGGAGCCCCTCCAGCTCTCCACATATATTGTGATGGTTCCTGGGATCCAGACAGAGCCGTGGGAGGATACGCTGTTGCCATCTTCCTGGTCGCCAACGAGCAATGGGCCCTTTTCGGCATGTGTGGACAGGGAACTCACGGGCACCACACTGGATGGGACGTTGACGGCCCACCCGCCCTGGTGAACGAACAAATCGCCATTGCGGTTGCTTTGCTGTGGACCGCCCAGACCTACCACTTCCTCCGGCACTCCGCTGTCACTATTCACTACGACTGCCAGGTCGCAGGATACGCGGCCCAAGGCACCACAACTTCAACATCTGCCTTCATGTCCAAGGTCCGTGACCTCTGCCTCTTCGTTGCGGCCATCTTCGGGGACGCGCCGTCCTTTGAGTACGTCGCGGCACACAAAGGCGAGCCCCTCAATGAGCTTGTCGATGCGGCAGCTAAAGCCTGTGCAAGGCACCGTGCCTTTCTTCCCCATCCGCCCGAGCATGTCTACGGCCAGCTGCTAGCCAACGACACCGCCTGGCTGGCGGCCCCCTGTGACCGAAGATGGTCCAAGGCAGTCCCAGTCACGGCCACGGCAATCCAGTGGTGCCCGGTCGAGACATACGGACCCTCTCCTTTGCGGCCGGATCAGCTCATACCTACAACCACCTTCAGGACGGAAGCCGGGAAACCGAACCCGCATGGGACCCTCAAATTTCTCTCCTTGAACGCCCTTGGGATGGCGCACAAACATCGATACTTTGAGGACCAACTCGACCAGCTGGAGATCGGCATTGCCTGCTTTCAAGAAACCAAGGGCTCAGAGGGCCTATGTGAGTCAGCTCGATATGTCCGACTCACCTCGGCCTCCGACCGGCACTGGGGTGTCGCCATATGGTTGAGTAAGCGCCGAGGGGCTATCACCATCGAGGGCAAACCGTGGATAGCTGGGGCAGATGATTTGAAGGTGCTTCTCTCAAGCCCCAGGTTGCTGGCAGCCCTCATCATAAAGGACGACCTCAAATTTCTCGTGCTTTCGGGGCACTGTCCCCACGACGCCAAGTATGAGGAGGCAGCTCAATTTGTCGCCGATCTTCGGCGAGTGGTGGCCCCCTACCGAAACATCCAACTCATCCTGGCTGGGCTGGACTTAAACGGCCGGCCCCCACCCGGTGTCCTTGGCATCACTGGCACCCTCGAATGCGGAGAGGCAGACCGTATCGGCCACCTCGCCACGGATGCTTTCCAAGACCTCGGCCTGTGGATCCCCTCCACCTTTCCTGAAATCCACGAAGGACAGGTGGAGACATATCGACTACACCGAATCGACTTTGCAGTCACTGGAGGATCCGCCACTGTTCTTGATGCCTACAGTACTGTTGACACTTCGTTCGACAGTGGATGTGAGCGAGACGATCATTGGCCAGTTGTCCTTGAGCTGAGCGTTGACTTGGGCCCCATCCAACACAGGGCCCGCCTCTCACGACCCCGCTTCGACATTGACAAGCTCATGTCGACGGAAGGCAGACAGCTTATGGCGCAAGAGCTCCGCACTTTCGTCCAACCATCGTGGGACCAGCACCCCGACCTCCATTGCCAAGCAGTGCAGGACCACTTCCTTGACATCATGAAGCGGCACTTCCCCCTGGCCAAGCACCGACCGAGGGCGAGCTATATCCCGACTGCAACTTGGGAGCTACGTGATCGTAAACTTCGCCTCAAGACGGCCTCGCGTCATCGTCGAGGGCTCTGGGAGGCACTTGTTCACAGGGCTTTCTTGCAATGGCGGGAAGGAGCTGATTATGACGTCCACACCCTGGTCAGCAAGCACGGCTTCCTCTACCAGCTCACCGCCGCTGCAGTCAGCTTCGCGACCCACAAGATCAAGGAGCAGATTCGGACGGCAAAGAACACCTTCCTGCTCGACCTTGCGGGCGACACTCATCGGCCAGCAGGCGCCCTCCTCCGCCAGGCAAAGGAAGCTGGTGTCGGAGGCGCAAAGTCACGCCCTGTGGCTAGGCCCCTACCCCTCCTTCTCCGAAAGGATGGCTCAGCGGTCGTCTCTCGTCACGATCGAGATTCCTTGTGGACGTCCCACTTCGGGGCCCAGGAACTTGGCACCACGCTTAGCACCACCGAGTACCTGGCCCAACCTCAGTGCCCTCCCTACCAAGACACTCCGTTGGAATGGAAGATTGAGGACATACCGTCCCTCCAAGACGTCGAGCGAGCCTTTCGGGCTGCACCGAGAAAGAAGTCCCCTGGCCTGGACTGCATCTGTGGCGAAATGCTTTCCGCAGCCCCTGCTGAAGCTGCCAGCATAGTATGGCCCCTCTTCGTCAAGGCCGCGGTCCAAGTCTGCCAACCGACCCAGTGGCGAGGAGGCATTTTGTATGCAGCCTACAAGCGAAGCGGATGCAGCTGGGACCCACAGGCACACCGCTCCCTTTTCGTCTCCTCGACGATCGGCAAGTCGTTCCACAAAACTTGCCGAACCCGGGTTCAGAACATCCTCGACAGCAGTTTCCATAGCTTCCACCTTGGAGCGCGACGTAACTGCCCCGTCACGATGCCTGCCCTGTACATCCTCGGACACATGCGGCGAGGCCGAGAGTCCAGAAGGTCAACTTCAACCCTCTACCTCGACACGGAGGCCGCTTACTACCGGGTAACCAGGCAGCTTGCCTTTGGAGACTTGACCGAGGACGATGCCGTGATCCGAGTCTTCCAGCACTTCGACCTTCCCCCCGAAGATGTTGGTGAGATGATGGAGCAAGTCTGTGCCGGAGGAATGGCAGCCGAGACCAGCCTCCCCCACACCACACGACACAACGTCAAGGACTTCCATAGCCGAGCCTTCTTCGTCACTGCCTATGCGGATGGGACCCACGTCACCCAGACTGATGCAGGTTCCCGCCCAGGCGAGTCTTGGAGCGACATCGTGTTTGGGTGGGTGTACTCGCGAATCCTTGCCCGCATCACCGAGCATGCTACGGCTGAAAACATTCTCGATGAGCTCCCGTGTGACCCCTCGGCGGGACCTTACGCTGTGGCCGGAGAGGGCACCGACATCTCTATTGCAGACGCCACTTGGGCCGACGATAGTGCTTGGCCATTGAGTGCTGACACCCCCGAGGCACTTGTCCGGAAGACTATAAGAATGTGCTCACTTGTACTCACATTTTGCTGGCAGCACGGCCTCAAGCCCAACCTACGGCCGGGCAAGTCAGCTGTGATGATGATCCTCCGCGGCAAGGGCAAACAACGGACTCGCGCTGCACATTTCCCCAAAGATGGCCTCCACCTCCCCATCCCAGAGTGTGACGTCTGTGTACCCATCACCAACTCCTACAAGCACCTGGGAGGCCTTGTCGACGGCGAGGCAAAAATGGCTGCAGAAGCTCGCCGGCGTACTGCCATGGCTGGCAGTGCCTATGATGCGGGCAAGAAGCTCTTCTTTGCCAACTGGCGCCTGCCCTTCAGCACCCGCGTAGCCTTGTTCCAAGCCGCGATTGACCCGGTGTATTTCAACCTGGGCCTGTGGACCACCGACACCCCCTCCTGGAAGGCACTCAGTGAAGGCTACTCCCGTCTTCTTCGGCGACTTGTGGTGAAACAGTGGAATGGTGAGCACGCATTCCACGTCCCACTGCCAGCTATTCACCTCGCTACCTCGAGTCCCCCGCTGGAGCACCTCCTCCGACGAGCAAGACTCAGCCTGCTGGCTTCGATGGCCAGGGCGGCGCCCGAGCCGTTATGGGCCATCCTCCAGACTGAGAGAACTTGGCTTGCTGAAGTCCGACAAGACCTTGAATGGCTTTCCGACGGTCACGGCGACAAATGGCCCCACAGAAGTGAGGCTGGATGGCCCGAGTGGGCCCAGCTCTTCCGGCAGTCCGGCTCCTGGGTCAAAAGACAGGTGAAGAGGAGAATGCAGGAATCCTTCGACATCTACAAGCAGGCCCAGCGATGCAACTTGACCTTGTGGGCTTTATACCGGAAAGCCCTGGCGATTACGACCCCGCCCACTGGGGGGCAAAATCGATGGGCTTGCCGTGGCTGCTCCAAAAGCTTTCGAAGCCGAGCTGGCCTTGGCGCTCACTACTTCAAAGTCCACGGCCGTGTGGCTGACCACCGTGGGCTCATAGCAGGCACCGTATGTGCCGCTTGTGGCAAGGACTACCACAGCGAAAACAGGCTGAGCATCCATCTCCGCGATACCCCCCACTGCCAGCACATGCTACGGGCAGCTGGCTATCGCACGGAGTCTGTGAGACCAGGCCTCGGCAGCCGTGCATGGAACAAAGCTGCACAGACGATGGACAAGCTCGCAGTCCCCGCGGAGACCCACCAGCCGATCGAGGGACCCACCGAGTCGCCCTACTCGGAGACAGCCAAGAGCGCCTACGCCTGTCTCTCGGAAACACTGCTCAGCCGCTCATTGCCCCGTGGGTTTGAAGCCATCCAGGACCTCATGCTCGGGCACATCGCGGAATTCCCGCTCTACCCCGAAGAGACCGCCCACATCGTCGACAGGCTCCTTGCGGATTTCCTGGACCTCAAGGACGAGCTCATTGGCGACTACTGGACGGACGAGACCTACTACGAGGTTCAGGAGGCTTTTCACGGCCTCCCGGGCAAGCTCGAAGCTACGGCACCACCCCCCACCGAAGGCTCAGATCACGCTGAGGAGTTCTGGCGCTTCGTCGCAGGGGTTGATGGTTTTCAGTGGGAGCGACTCCTGCCACAACATGCTGAGTCCCACGGGACCCCGAACGATCGTTGTTTTAGCCTGCACAGTGCTTGGGAAGCGGAGTGGCACAGCTGCAGTGACACGATCTGCGCCTCCGCCGTGGAACAACGTTTGTGGCCTTTAGTGCCCGCCACTCTCCGTGAAGTCTGGGAGCTGGCAGTACAGGGGCACCGTGTTGCGCTCAATGCGCCTGCTTGCTTCTGGCAATGCCCACTTAGCAGGCCTTTTAGCTCCCTCCGACAACCCGTTGCACTTAATTAAGCTGCGTCGATCACTGATTGCACCCAAAGTCCAAAATATATATATATATATATATATGTATATATATATATGTATATATATATATGTATGAATATATGTGTGTGTGTATATGCACATACACAGACACACATGAGTGTGTATATGACTTGCTGACTTGGTCTGACTTCTATGAGCAGAGATCACCATGTACTGCATGCCAGCTTTTGAACCAATGGCTTTTTGGCACTGACTTTTGTTTGACTGTGGCGCTTTGAGTCGAGAGTTTGGACCCTAATTTGCTCCGTAGAAGCATCGGCTCGGGTGTCAAGTTTGCCGGCCATCCAAAACCAGAACTGTATACTCAAGCTGTCATATCGCAAGGACGTTCAACCCGAAGATGCCAATACAAATTATTCTGCTACGACGGCGTACTGGTACGGCTACTGCTACTACTACTGCCACTGCTGCTACTCCTGCTCCTAGTCGTGCTACTACTATGCTACTACTGCCACTGCTGCCACGACGACGACGGCGCGCCCGACTACCAATTCCAGCCTACAAGCAGCACTACCACTACCGCCACTGCTCCGTTCTGCTGCCGGTGCGGCTAGCTTTGCAAAGACGTTTGCTGTCAAGCATTATTGAAGGTTTGCTAACCTTACATGCTTCCAAAACCAATGTCGTCGATTCCGCGGTCGCCAGTGCCTTCAGGGTTTAGGGTTTAGGGTGCCGAAGCAGGTTTTTCCAAGCGTTAAACGTTAGCCGCAGCTGAGCTCGGCTTGACTCACGTGTGCCTATGGAGGTCAAGCCGCCACCTCCCAGTCCCCTTAAAGGAATCCTTAGAGGAACCTGCAGGACCCTCTGAGCATTAGGGCAGGGAGCTGGGTGAATAATACAGGTGCCTTCACTTTTAGAATAATAGGGTTTTGGGGCCCATTATGCGATGCTTATGATCGGGAACCAGCAAAATGGTGTTGGTAATTATTATGCTCCCATACTTGGGGTCCAGCATACAGAGAGTTCCTTGATGGGTTTAGAGTCTAGAAGCTTGCGATATGATTCGCAACAATACCTGAGACAGGGTTTCATAATTCAACACGATTCCCTCTTGGTTTCTATATTCACTGCACCACCACGTATTCCGTATTCCTCTTCCTTGTGTTTTGCACTCGCTGCTTTTCATGCCATGTCTGTTGCCACCGTGGTCGTAGTGTCACCGGATTCGTCAAGCGTTCCCGGTGCTTCGGCTGTCTGTGGCTTGGGAATCAGGGTATGAGAGTTGCTAGCATGAGCGCCTCAATATGGATATCTATATGTCTATCTATCTATGCATCTAAAAGCACATGAGTGTAGTTAACAAGCCTCTTCCAGCCCCGACGGAAAACGAATTGGGGCGTGGCTTGAAACCCTACAGTAAACCTAAACCCTTGCCAGCAAAAAGGACTTCAAAATCATGCTGCTTGAAGGCATCAGCAGCCCGAAGGTAGCCTGCCGGTGGTTCAGAGTGTCAGGGTTAGGGCTTAGGGAACTCGATCCGGGTGTTTCGGGTTAGGGACACAGTTTGTTTTAATCGTTGTTCGTAGGTGTCTAGTGTAGGGACGTGAATGATAATTTCTGCTGGGGTTAACCATATACTTAGACTTGTACCGGCACCATAAAGACCAATGCTTTTAACTCTTTCCATACAGAGTTGTTGCATCGAAATCTCGGCAGTGTGGAAAGACGATCCAAGGTCGCTGGTCCCGGAGTCTTCATTGGTTTCCGGGATCAGAGCTTGATTAGGGGCAAGTCTAATGCCGCGCCCGAAACCCAAAAAACGAAGGTGGGGACTTGGCATAGCAGCAGCCATGGCCAACGAGACCTCATTTCAACTGCGCAGGCATGGGCTGCAGAGATGTTCGCGGACACGGTCGTGGGCTGTTTTAGGTTTGGGGCTTGGGTTTAAGATTCCGTGTTTGGGGTTGAGGGTTTAGCTGCACTTCTGGGCCAGAGCTGCGACATCCCCCGCAGGTTATCCATCACACCCACCCCTTTGCATGCAGGTGCCCCAATCGCGACTGGGGAAGTTTGCCGCACTGTGTTTAGACTCATAAAGCACCGATTGCAACCCACAGTACGTGCACATCAGAGAAGGGTCAAGCTGAAAGAACCAGGCGACTTTTTGACATTGAGATGTTTAGGATCTTGGTAGAACCTTCGGGTGCTTATAGCTCTACTTCATAATGCCTGAGAATAGGCCCTAAATCGTAAACCCAAAACCTGAAAATAGACCCCAGGCAGGTCCTGAATCCCAGACGCAAAATCCGAAAACCCTGCACGATCCTGATGGAAACCATGTAGCACCTCGATTCCCATCGAGGCCCGTAGCCTCCGCGACACTCTTTCGAGAAATGTCTCATGGACTGAGGCTTTGAAGCCTTGGGGTGGCCCTTAATCGTTAAAGGTCTCGACAGAGATTTGCCCCGCAACAGCTTAAGTTTTAGATTTGGCTTCGAGGCTTTTATTGTTTTATCGTTTGAGCTTTCACAGTTTCACGATGCTAGGCTTTCACGTTGGGGGGTCCTTCAACATCTCTACCTCGAGAGGGCGGGCTTATGAAATCCCCCTTCCCAGAGACTCCAATATCCCTTAATGAAGGAATAAACCTTAGATCCCCAATACGATTTAAGGAATATTCCTTAATTAAGAGATATTGGAGTCTTTGGGTTCTTGCTTTGCGCTGCGTCTCGGCGCCCTGCCGCGTAACCTTTCGGCTGGACATGATCCCGGTGGATCTTTGGGAAAAGCGCTCGTCAGAGTGTGGACTCAAGGGGTCATTGTAAGGGTTTGGAATTTAGGGTTTAGGGGTTTAGGGTTTAGGGTTTATGTAACTAGAATCGGGTTTAAGGCAACTACAATGCAATGATTGCTATATCCTTCCATCTTACAGCTTGGCTCTGCGAAGTCATGGTGGCAGCACAAGAGTGTCTGCAGCGGCAAGCTCATTTTCGCAGAACTCGCATAGAACCTCTCAGCCTTCACCAATGTAGGAACCTGATTAAGAAACCTTGGGCCTTTATCAGGGTTCCTCATTATGAACCCTACTACTATGTTTGGGATTTCCCATCTTCCTTCTCCCGACGCCCCGAACCCTAAACCCTAACTCCAAATCCTTAGGACCCAGACTAGGCCCTTACTCCTTTGTTTACGGTTTAGGTATGGTTCAGGTTCCCTTAAAACCCCCTTTAAACCAAAAAGGACACCTTTTGTTCCTGAGTTACTCTTAGGTCTAGATCCCAAATCCTTCACCTTACGCCAACTGCGCGGTGCTTTTCCCAAAAATGCCAACAAGGCACACAGCCCCGAGCAGATCCCAGGATGTTTAGGGTTTAGGCTTCAAAGCCGAACATATACAAGTCGGTGCAAAAAGGGTTTAGGGTCAGGAAAAGGCAAGCGCCGTGGAGCTGTCAGTGGAAGTCTCTTACTTGAGAGAGGGGTAGGACCTGGGGTTCAGGGTTGCTAAAGCCGAAACATAATGATATGAAGGGTTTAAGGTTTAGGATTTCGTGATCAGGGTTGGGGGAATTGCAATAAGTCGCATACTTAGACTATACATTTTACAAGGGCTGCACGTGCACTCAGCGTCCAATGCTCAAGGGCTTGTATAGGGCCGTAGGGATTCACTACTTCAGGTCTCAGTAAATGTCACAGATGCCTTGAAATAAATACGGATAGTACAAAAAGTATCCGTGGCTACTACTCGTACCTGCCACGTAGCCTTAGTAATGTCGACAGATTTTGGATCTCGGTGCGAGCCTTCGGGGATATATATATATATATATATATATATATATATATATATATCAGCAGGTTGCTTCTTGTAATGTAAAGACAAAGCAAGCCCTGCAAAACTCGTATAGATCCTCTCCACAAGAAGCATCCACTTCAGTCAGGTTTTTCGGTCAGGTATCTTGACCTCCGCGTCCCCGGCCCCCTTCCCTGCCCCTCCCCGACTGTAGCACCAGAAGCAAGCAAATTCAGAAGGGCTCGACTTCAATTTCCCACGATCTCTGGTTTACGGAGGTTTTTTAGCCCTCAAGGCCTGCTTGAACCGCGTTACAACACCAGTGCTGAATCAGAAGTCTTCAGAGAAACCTGAGGTATATACCAGGGAATCATAGTTCGGATCCCGTGATACGACAGAGATATGTTCAATCTCATTCCTTCTGGGACACTGTGCTCTTTGGTTTCGGAGTTCATGCCTTAGACTCCTAAACTCTAGGTAGGGCTTTGGGACATTTTATATTTGCTTTCTTTGGGCTTAAGAGGATCTTACCTACTTGTCACGGGTTGAAGAAATAGCCCTCTTCACCGATTCACCGTTCTGTGGTTTCAAGCTGCGAGCAGCACAGACGACGGTCAACTCCAGGGTTCGAAGGGCTTTCTAGCGTTCCCCCCTGCTTCCGGGATCTGCACATTCTCGCATGCCGCGAGTGCAGAGGCCTTAAATAGTTGCCTCTCAGGGCAGCCGTGTTCCTGAAATGCCACAGCAGGGATGCAAGCGAGCTCTCGCAGACGGTTCCTGAGTCAAAGCATGCCGCGAAAGGAGTTCGGAGAGACGTCTCTCAATAGCCACAGAGCCCTAGACCCTAAACCCTTTAAATCCTAAACCTTGAACCAGACGTCTGAACCCCAGGCCCACAAGCTTCAGAAACGCCGGAGACGGCAGAATCTTCTTACATTGCAGGTCTAGACTTAACAGATAGTATAGGTTGCATGGATACTAAAGTTGGTAAGATACAAATATTGCAAGTATATTTCAGGCATGAAAGATGTTATAGACGGTGGAGGTGTGCGTAGTTTGGATTTTGAATACATTCTCGATATTCTAGATATACATAGTACAGACATAGAAAATCAGGACCCCCGGTTCAAAAGGCACCAACTCTGGGCCATTAGGTCCTTAGATGTCCTTAGCAATATGGAGTATGATTCTGAAAGGTTTAGGGGTTTAGGGAAATTTTAGGGCTTCAGTTCCCGGC